AACAACAACATTAGTTTTGTAAGTCTTAATTCATACAGATTGGGTCATACCACTTTCCCCATTTCATAATCTTTTATTTGCTCTCCACTGCTGTGGAGACAACCCTGGCTCCTATGCAGGATCAGGCCCCAGTCCTGTTCTTGGCAGCTCTTACAATTACTGCTACTCCCTCCCCTGGGATTCTAGCGCCCCAGGACTACATACTGTGCCATAGGTGACCTATAATATCTCCACAACTCCCTGGCTCTGCTCATGTCCCCTGTCCACCCAGCACATTCCTACTGGGCCTTCAAGGCTACTGTAGCAAATGGGTCTTCCTTTGGGAGACCTTTACTGGTCACCATCACTCTCCCAGACATGTTTCCAAGGCATATTTTTGGATTTTCTGAGACTGTAACACCTTATTTATAGAATCAGAAGGGGCAAATGTGGCTCCAGCAGGGAGAAGGTCATGACAAGCCTTTGAGTCGGGAATGGGCATGGAGAGCATGTGTCAGGGAGCAGGAGCTGTCCCTGGTAGGATGAGCCCCTTAGGACAATCCCCAGGGCCTGGTTCCACCCCTTTAAGAACATCAGGGAAATCTTTGGATATGGAAATAGTCAGAATGTCCAGGATGCCAGTTTCTTGAGGGAGAGAGTCATTCTTGCCAAGGGTGCCAGGAAAACCTGCACTGGAGCAAAGCAAAGTTACACATCTCAGAATGGGAAGGGGCAGGCCCAGCAGAACCTGCTCAAACCTTCTCTGAATGTAGAATGCCCCTCTCTGCTTATGGGGGCTGGCCCTATCTTCCTTTAGCCACCAGTGAATGTGACCTCCCTTAGCTGCCTTCTCTGTTCTTGAGATGAATCTCAAAGCCCTTTGCTGGTATCTTGGGGGAACTTCTATAGGCTGAGGAAGGGGAGACTATTCTGAGGCGGCTACACAGAGAGGTAAGTGAGCCTCTCAAGGCAGGCTCTCGGAAATCTAGTAGTGTGGCCTCGGAGATTCAGCAGTTCCAAACAGTAGCTGTTGATTACTATTCAGGAGGCCACCTCAGTCTGAGCTTCATGGCCCCACTTTACGTATCTCCACCAGAAAGGCCAGGGCAGGCGAAGGGCTGTCCTGGCAAAAGACAGGGGAACGTCAGGCTGAGAAAGGCAGTGAGAATATTTAGATAGTTAGAGCAGGGCCAAGGCCAATGTTGGTGGCGGCTGGGAGGGTTGGCAGGTGTCAGCAGTGGACTGAGACACTGGCAATTTCTGCTCCAGCCTGAATTGCAATGGGCCCAGGATCCCTGTGGGTGCGGGCAGTTAATCTCCGAAGGCCAGAGTCACCACTACTAGAGAGCAGGAACATTGAACTTTTCAATCACATTAATTTCCACAGGAAATTGTTGTCTTCCTTTTGTCTAAAGGTTAGTGATTTATATTTACCATCCTCTTAACTAGCCTTGAAATTTACTGTTGCCAGGTCACCACCAGCATCCATAAATTTCAGGATGGCAGCTGAGCATAGCCAAGTGACTTGGTCCTTGCAAAAGTACATCCCACCCTTTCAGGGGGTGACTATCTAGCTACAGACAGTCCTTGCACAGATGTCCTTCTGGGGGGTGGGCATTCACTTTGCAAGGAAATGAGGTGAGTTCTGTTAGACAAAGTTGCAGGAGGCCCTTCAGCAGCCATCAGAGACAGCTGGCTCATGCCTGCCAGCACATCACCCAAGGAAGGTCTAGCTATGGGCAGTGGCACAAGAGCTGTTCTAGGAGTTCAGTAGGAGCCAGATGCCTAGCTCTATGCTCCCTGTGACACAGGCAAGACACTTAATCTCATTCTGCTTTTATGTTAGAATATAGGTGTGTGTTTTCCTGGCCGGACAGGGTGGGAGGTTTGCTAAAACCTGGAGTCATTCTGCCTCATGTTCCTGTTTACACTGTCCTATCCATTGCTCCTCTTAAGACCTTGGAATTAGAGCAGAGACTGAGGCTGGCAAACTTTTTTTTTTTTTTTTTGGTACCAGAGATTGAACTCGGGCACTCAACCATATCCCCAGTCCAATTTTGTATTTTATTAGAAGAAGGGTCTCACTTTTTGCTGAGGCTAGCTTTGAACTTGTGATCCTCCTGTCTCAGCCTCCTGAGGCACTGTAATTACAGGTGTGCGCCACTGCATCCAGCTTGGCAAACTTTAAAGTTTATTTAAAATTTTAAATATTTTATTTAAAATTAAAATTTATTTAAAATTAAAAATTTATTTAATTTTTTAGTTGTAGATGAACACAGTATCATTATTTTATGTGTATATACATATTAAATATATATATTTTGTGGTGCTAGGGATTGAATCCATGGCCTTATGCGTGCAAAGCAAGCACTATGCCAACTGAGCTATATTCCCAGCCCCTGGCAAACATTTTCTGTGAAGGCCATTAATATTTTAGACTCTGTGAGCCATACACTCTCTGTTGTAATTACGTTTTAGTATGAAAGTAGCCATAGAGAGTAAAATAAATTGGATGATATGGCTATATTCCTATTAAAGTTTATATGTGGACACACAAATTTAAATTTTTTAAAAAATATTTTTTAGTCATTGATGGACCTTTATTTTATTCATTTATTCATATGTGGTGCTGAGAATTGAACCTAGGGCCTCACACGTGCCAGGCACACACTCTACCGCTGAGCCACCACCCCAGGCCCACACAAATTTAAATTTTATATAATTGTCATATGTCACAAAAATATTATTATTTTGATTTTTTAACCATTTAAAAATTTAAAAGTCATTTTAGCTTATAGACTGTACAAAGGTGGTGGGTCTGATTGGGCTAATGTTTGCTGATCGCTGGTTGGAAAGGGAAGTTACCTGGAGAAGGTGTTCACTTTCCCCTCCTGGGCTGTCTTTGAATCACTAAAGAAAGGTGCCCTCAAGAGAGCTTTCTAGTGATGTCACAGTTCTTCCTGAGAGATCTGTAGAAAGGCAGTCAGGGCAGGACTGGGGCAGGAGCCCCATGGGAGCCTGAAGCAGAGAGGCTGGTGGGATGCCTGGGCCTGGCACCTGTTGATTTCCTGCCTTCAGCCACAGTGGTGTTGGCTTTGGGTCAGTCAGAACCCCCATCCTACCTCCCGTGTTGACAGTCCACATCTGTGTTTCAGAGAACAACGCCAGACAAGGTGGGAAGGAGGCAGGGCCGCGACTGCCTGTGGTGATTCTCTTGGGCTGGGGTGGCTGCAGGGACAAGAACCTTGCCAAGTACAGCGCCATCTACCATGAAAGGGTGAGTACTGCAGGCATGTGGATACTCAGATGTTGGGATCCTGCCACCTCTGGGTACTCTATGGGGAACTCCAAGCCTCTGGCTGCCTCACCTCTGGGCTGCAGTGAAAGCTGACCCGTTCTGTGACAGGCCTAGGAATAGTGTTAAGAACAGCCTGTGAGGAAGATGATGGGGTCATGGGGACTTTGGCAGGATTATCCCCCGCTTTGCTGTCAGCTTTGTGTCCTAGTCTAGCTCCTTCAGTCCCCTGACCTGCTTCTCTCCTTGAATCCTGCGGTGGGCAGCCTTAATGTTGTCCACACTGATGGAATCAGCCCAGGCCTTAACTCCTGTTGACTGGTGTGCCAGGCATAGTTCCTGCTCCCAGGACTTTCTCCTTTTTTGCCCATAGTACCTTTTCACATTCCCAGAGTCACAGGGCCTCTTGGAGGAGTCATGAGACTTCTCAGGATGCACTAAGAGTTGACTGTAGAGGTGGTAACTGGAGAGGGCCCTAGGAGAGCCTGGTTATATTTTGGAAGCCCTTTAAAAAAAAAAAATTAGTTGTAGATGGACTCAATACCTTTCTTTTTTTATTATTTATTTTATTGGTGCTGAGAATCGAACTCAGTGCCTCATACGTCCTAGGCAAGCACTCTACTACTTAGCCACAACCCTGGCCCTGGAAGCCCTTTTATGTCTTTGGTCTCTGACTCTTCTCTGCCCTCCTCAGGGCAGGTCTCCCCAAAGCAACCTTTGGCAGGGGTATTGGTTTAGACAGCTCCAGATGCCAGCTGGAAGGCCCAGGCAAAGGAGTAGGAGTCACCTGGGAGAAGGGCCAGCTGGTGCCCCTTTTCTTGGTTTCCTTCCACTGACCAACGTCTATGCCATGCCTGAGCAGCATGGAAGCCCTGGAACAGGAGAAGGATTGGGGGAGAAAAGTAGTTTTGAGTTTGAAGCCTCCTCTCAGCCAATAAGCCTGGCCCACCTTTTGCAGGCTGCCTCACTCCTCAGGTTATCTTAGCTCCTGAGCTCCACTCACTGGCTAGGCTTGGTCTAGCTTCTTCATTAGAATAAGAACTTTGAGGGCGGCTGGGGTTGTGGCTCAGTGGTAGAGTACTTGTCTAGCATGCATAAGGCACTGGGTTTGATCCTCAGCACCACATAAGAAACTAAATAAACAAAATAAAGGTATTGTGTCCACCTACAACTAAAAATATTTAAAAAATAAAAAAAAAAAGATCCTTGAGGGCAGGCAGAAGAATAGGAATGATTGAGTGTGCTCAGTACAGAGAATGAAAGTGCAAATGTCTACAGGTGAGGCTTGGTCGGGGGAGGGTTTTCAAGGTGATTTAAACAGGGGCACAATGTTAGATTTGCCATTCAGAAAGCACCTAACTGCAGAGTAGGGGAAAGATTGGAGGTGCTGGGGCTAGAAGCCAGGAGAAACTTTGGAAAGGGTGCAGTGACCCAGGACAGGGTGGTCAGGATCTTAGGGCTAGTGGTGTAGGTAGAAGGAAGGTGATGGGTGGAGGAGCTTGTCACGAGATAGGAAGGTAGCTCATAAGAGATTAGGAGTGGGCACAGGGATGGAGAGGAGGGAGCATGTTCTGGGTAGAGGGAGGTGTGTTTTTGAGACAGGAACACTAGAAGAGAATCCACAGTTTCTGGGGTAGACGAGATCCCTCAGGAGTGTAGAGAGGGAAAGAAGAGGGCTGGGATAGCCCTAAGGAAACCAGACTTAAAGAAGTAGAAGATGAAGAGAATTCTATGAGGAAAGGAGGAATGGAGCCAAGGGAGGACAAGAAAGCCCAGGAGGACATGACAGAATCAACAGAGAAACAGACCATTGTAGGTGAGGGAAGGAAGATGTTATGTGGGCAGAAAGTGTGAGGGAGAAAGTGTGAGGCAAGATTCCAGGACAGGCAGAGGGGCTGAAGGTACAAGGCTGGTGGAGTGGCAGCCTTGACAAGGAGGGGACTGACTTTATTCCCTGGTAGGAGGAGAACAGGATGGGTGCCGAGAAAAACTTCTCCAATCCCAAACTCCAATATTTAATTTCTTTTTAAAGACACAGACAAAGGTTTACTATGGAAAGCAGAGGAACATTCAAGGGAGAATGCAGGGCCATCTCCAGAGGGAGACAACCTTCATTATTTAAAAGAAAATAAAAACATCATATTCCACCGCCTGGAGATGACCTCGGTTTATACCATAGGGTAGCTCTTTCCAGGTTTTTTCTGGATCTTCTCTTTGCCTGGATGAGATCTATCAAGTGTACCATTTTGAAGGCTGCTTTTTAAAGATCATGCTTTCCACCTTCTCATGTTAATTAATTTTCATCACTTCTAGTTTCCAATCCATGTTCAGATGCCCAAATTGTCTTCAAAGTGTTCTTTACAACTGATTTGCCCAAACCAAGATTCAATCCAGGATTACACATTGTATATAGTTTGTTGTTGTTGTTGTTGTGTTCCTTAGGCCTCTATATCCAGACCAGCCCCTTTTTTCATGATTAAAAATGTTCCTTTTTTTTTTTTTTAACCAACTGAAGGGACTGGGTTGCAAGGAAATATTTCTAGGAGTGTGTAATCCTCAGGTGCTGCCAGGAGAAAAGTGTGATGAGGATGGACAGGCCTCTATTAGATTTGACCATTTGGGAGTATGGGTGGCCTTAAGTAACTCCCCAAGCCCTAGAGTGTTGGGAGCCTCCAGACCTAGCAGGTCTGGGTGATAGGAGGCAACCTGGCTGACCATCCATTTGGCTGTGGGTCCACATAATTTTCTCCTGGTTATTGTAATGATCACTGATGATTGTTACAGCTGTTGGTTGAGAGTTTACTGTGTGCCATGTGTTGTTTTGGTCACTTAACATACTTTTTTTTCTCATTTAATTTCCATCATAACCTTAGGAGATGGGTGTTATCCCAATAATAGATGGGGACACAGACACAGAAAGAAGTAAATTGTTCTTTATTCATACTGTTGTTAAGTGCTAGGACCAGGAATTAAATTCAGACCTGTCTGACCCCAGAGCCTGCCTAACTCAGATCCCCATGACAAAGGGTACTTTGTCTCTAGAATAGGTTTAGGAGGGGGATTAGGTCCCAGGCAGGGCCTTTTTCAACAGGCCTAGAAGGGGACCTGTCTGGAGGTTTTGAGGTACACTTGGCTCAGGCAGTGAGGTGTCCAGAAGCCTAAAGGGAGTTTGGGCCCAGATTTTAGAATTTGAGGAATAGTATTTACTGTATTTGGAATTTCAGGGGGAGTCTGAGGAGTGATCCTAGGCTTGGGAACCAGACAGATTTGGGGGTCAGGCTCCTGAAACCAGACAGTATGGATTTTGTTTTCCGGTCCTTGGTGTGGGAAGAGGGAGATGACAGTGACTAGAGATGGATGCCATGAGGGTCTGGCTCAGAAGTGGCCTCTGGTAGTCGAGGCTGGGGGCTTGTAGGCTGTCTTAGGTGTTGTGTCTGGGAGGTAGGGAGAATGGAGAGAAGTCGCTGCAACAAAATATAGGCAAGCAGTGAGACTTTAAATGTACAAGGTCTGGGGTAGGCTTGCGGTATGAGAAGAGATGTTCTGGTCACTTTCAAAACGTTCTCATCTCCAGGCCTCATATACCATCCCAGAGGCGTAGTCACCATGAAGCCATGAGTCCAAAAATGGACCTTGAGTATACTTTCCACTCCTGCAAAGTACCTGTGTCTGTGAGTAGTGAGCTGGTGCTCAGGCTGAAGCAGGGCCTAGAGCTTTGCTGGATTCCATGGCTCTATGGAAGTTGGGGTTACTGGGCCTTTCGGATGTATCTTGTGCTCACCACCCCCACTGCATCCCTGGGGATTGATCAGGCTTCTCTTCTCTCCCCAGGGCTGCATCGTGATCCGATACACAGCCCCATGGCACATGGTCTTCTTCTCCGAGTCCCTGGGCATCCCTTCACTTCGTTTGTTGGCCCAGAAGCTGCTTGAGCTACTCTTTGATTATGAGATTGAGAGGGAGCCCCTGCTCTTCCACGTCTTCAGCAATGCTGGCGTCATGCTTTACCGCTACGTGTTGGAGCTCCTGCAAACCCATCGGCGCTTCTGCCACCTGCGTGTGGTGGGCACCATTTTTGACAGTGGTCCTGGTGATAACAACTTGGTAGGGGCCCTGCGGGCCCTGGCAGTAATCCTAGAACATCAGCATGCTTTGATGCGCCTATTGCTCCTGGTGGCTTTTACCCTGGTGGCAGTCCTGTTCCATATCCTGCTTGCTCCACTCACTGGCCTCTTCCACACCCGCTTCTATGATAAGCTACGGAATGCAGAATCCCACTGGCCTGAGCTCTACCTCTACTCGAAGGCAGATGAGATTGTCCTGGCCAGGGATGTGGAACGCATGGTGGAGGCACGCCTGGCCCACCGGGTCCTGGTACGCTCTGTGGACTTTGTGTCATCTGCACATGTCAGCCACCTACGAGACTACCCTACTTACTACACAAGCCTTTGTGTTGACTTCATGCGCAGTTGTGTCCAGTACTCAGGTCCTACTCCAGAAATAAATGCCTGACCTCCCACAACCTATGTCTGTCCTGGGGGACTTCTAGTGGTCCTAGCGGGCAGGAATGCCTGGGTAGGTTTCTGTGGAACCTTGTAGTTGATTATTCAAACAAGTGCACCAGTCAGGCAGCTGATTCCTGTGGCATTCAGCATGTAAAGGGTTAAAAAAGCAGGGGAGGAGGGGGTTGAGGATGAACCTCAGAGTTGATTTAAAAAAAAAAGTTGTGGGGCTGGGGAGTGGCTCAAGTGGTAGCGTGCTCGCCTAGCATGCGTGAGGCACTGGGATCGATTCTCAACACCACATAAAAATAAAATAAATGTGTCCACCTAAAACTAAAAAATAAATATTTAAAAAAAATTGTGATAAGAACCCTTAACATGGGATCTACTCTCTTAATATAAAGTTCCAAGTATATGTAATACACTTATTAATAACACCTATTGTTAATTATAGGTGCAGTGTTATATAGATCTCTAGAACTTAATCACCTTGCACAATGGAAACTTTATACTTGTTGCCAGAGTTGAGTTGATTTTCTGACAGGAAGGTGAGCTTTATTGGGGAGGTGCCAGAGGGTAGGGTCAGACTATGAAGGCGGCCCCTTTGATCTCTGCTCCAGAAGGGCAAAGTCCCACAACATAAAGCATGAATCCCACTTGCCCATTCATTCAGAGAAGCTTCTCTGACCTCATAGCCCAGGAGTCTGAGGTAGATGCCGGATTAGCTGAGGATACAGGGGTGTGTGCTGCCCAGCTCCTCCACATTTTGCTAGGAAGCCACTGCGTCTGGGAAAGTTGTGAGCTGTCTGTAAGGGGCAGCTGGAGTGGGAAGCAGTGAGACAGCAGTGCTACAGTAGGAGCTGTGGCAAGTTAACTCTGGAGTCCTAAAAACCAGAACCAGGGTAAAGGGAGTTTTGGCTGAAATGATACCATCTCCTTGAAAGGAGACTCATTTGATACTCCTTTCAAGGAGATGGTATCATTGCAGCCTGCAAGGTGAAGTGCCTTCAGCCTTACAATTCTGTTCCATCTATCATTCTGAGAGTCACTGCTACACAGTGCTGGCACATAGGTATTCAATAAATATTAGTTGATCGAATGAATTTGTTGTGATAATCAAGAGGCCTGGGGGTCAGGGATAGGCTTTCAAAGTTTAGCAGGCAGTGAAGCAATGGCTGGAAAACTCTGGGTTGGAGCTGATCCCTGATATTCTTAGGGGTGATGGATTCCCTCTCCCTGGGGCCAAGTTCTGCCTGCAGGACATCAGTCCTCTGGGAGTCCCTACTACTGTTGCTGATTCCTAGGCTGTGTGGCTGCATTCCTAGCCATGGCCAACAGGTGGCAGTGCCGCCTGTGCCATGAGACAGCTCGAAGATCCAACACCATGGCTGGCTTCAGCAGAATGCCCTTCCCGTGGGTTAATGTGCCTATTAGAGAGCACATGGCCTCTAGGGTGGGGGTAACCAGCTATCATGGACCTACTGAGTCCCAGGTAGAGGAGAGAGGGAATAGAGATAGAAAAGAAGTTAGCCTGACTGGAATCTGTTCTTGCCATCACCCTTACCTCCAGAAGGTAGCCACTCTTTCAAGCCTGCTTCTTTTACAGACCCTCAGCCATTAGTGGGGCTGCTCCACTTCCCGGGGGACTATATACATTCCCTGTGACCTTGGGCCCAGGATCTATGTTCAGGATATTTGGAGCCAACAAGCAGGCATGGGGCAGTGAGGCCTTTGATGGGCTCCAACCAAGGGTGGCCTGTCATCCGCATTTCCTCTGGGTGTAGGAGGAGGCAAGAGCTGCCAAGACCTGATGATTCTCTGTGGGCATTCTAGAGGTGGGTGTCTAATGGGATTTGGGGAGATGGGAGGTAGGCCTGGCTGTAAGAATGTGTCAAGGAGTTTAGAGTCATGGAAAGACTCTGGGCCCTTGAATTTTAACAGAATTTATCAATTTATTTTTTTAATTACAATGACTATGACTATTTTTTAAAATACCTTCATTTATTTGTTTTTATGTAGTACTGAGGATCAAACCCAGTGCCTCCCATGTGCCATGCAAGCACTCTACCACAGCCCCTGCTCCCAGAATCTACTTTTCTTAAGACATCTTTCTGTTGTGGGCAAGGACTGGTCTGCACTTGCCTGAGAGGCATCCAGGATGCTGGTCTACCTAAGCAGCAGTGGGGAGTTGAGGGAGTGACCAACAAAGTGCTCTGTAGCCAGTGCTAGAGGCCTAGCTCTAGTTCCTTGAGAGTCCATCTTGGATAGCAGGAGTTTCTACTGTTTAATTTGGGGCTCTAGGCAGTTACCTACACCAGGCTTGTGGGCACTAGGATGAATAGTATAAAAGCCCAGAAGCCCTGAGATTGTGAGCCTGGGGGCACCTTTCAGGGGACTAGAAAGGAACAGAAACCTGGGGCTTGGGTTTTTAACCCAAGCCTGCAGTTGCTCCTGCCCTAGGTTGGGGGATAGAGCTTGCATCCCCTCTGTACCCCCAAGCTCTGACCTCTTCTATGATTAATGAGCTGACGATTCTGCATCAATAAGGAATTAACCTAGAGCCCCTACCCATCAATAGCCAGGAGCCCAGATCTCTAGCCCCACCCCCACTCATGCTGGAATGCTCCAGGGCCCCTCAGCAGACCAACACTGTATGGCTCTACACACACCTACATCTAAGTCCTCTCCCCAATACTGCTGCCTAGAATTAACCCCTGAACTGCCTCAGTCCAACCCCTAGTATCAACTTCCTATCCCCCATACATATACACAGGCAACAGCTGTTTATATTGGTTTAATCCATGTCAAATGTAGTTTACAAAGGGAAAGGACAAGTACCTTTGTATAGAATATACAGACACAGCATCACACCATGGGGCCCACAGGAGGGGCAAGGAGACAACTTTTCCCTGGGAACAGCATCTCTACTCCCAGGAATGGTTCTTAGCAGAAGGCTGTACAGCCAGGGGCGCCTTCAGTCAGCCCCAACCTCAGCTTCTGCTTCAGCTCGGGACCTACTTCCTGCCCCACCCTCAACTCCTTATGAAGAGCCCTATGAGCTAAGACTAAGGAGAGGGTCATGTCCCTCAGGGCATGTACCCCATGTCTGGGAGAAGAAATATACACCACTGAACACCGAGCACATGGGAGAGGAAAGGGACGCCACGGGAGAGGGAGAGGCAGATACCCTAAGAGGTGGTTGGGCCGAGCCCCCAGCCAGCCCTGAAGGAGGCACTGCTTCCAGAGTTCTTAAAAAAACAGAAGAAAATAATACAACCAAAGGTGGGGGCATGGAGGGCAAAGGAGTTGTCCCATTTATACACAACATTGTAAACATACATGGTCTATATTACATGTGCTTCAGTCTGGTGTTTGCATGTCTGTCTGTCCATCTGGGAGCTGTATCTCAGGAGCCTTGCCCCTCTACTCCCCACCCCTACCTCCCTGCTCCACCCTGGGAACAGAGGCCCGGATGGGTATGGTTCTCAGGCTTGGTGGGAGCCAGCAGGCAAGTCCTGGGCCTCAGCCTCCACTCTGGCTCCAGAGTCCTGTGTGTGTGTATGCTTGTGTGCGCATGTGAATATATGTACACGGGGAACCTGTGTGCAAGTATGTACAAGGGGAGAGGGTCACTGTCACAGAGGCTGGGGGCAGATGAGGCTGCTCGAGGCAAGGCCTGCTGGGTGGCTAGCTCACAAGTAGATCCTCCGAAGGTCTCCAGGCGCTGTGATGGTGTTGCACTGAGGGCAGAGCTTCTTGGCACCCTGCAGGGGGAAGAGGGCTATGATCAGACACGTGCCACATTTATCCATGTGAGCACTTGGGCCTACAGCCACGTCTCTCTGCACTAGTGTGTGCTGGGATTCTGGTTGTGTCAGCCAGGCTGGGGATGCACGGACGGCCTCTGAGCAGGCAGGCACGCTCCTGTGTTGGGGGGACGCCAGGATCAAACCGCCTGGCCAGCCCCGCAGCGGGAGCCCCGGTAATGAGAACAAGGCTGGGTCCAGCTGTGGCTGCCGCGGCCCTAACGAGATTACATGCGGCCTTTGATCAGGACACAGAGCCCACGTCCGGGCCTTTTATTGCTGTCTCCGGGCGACATTTTAATGGCTGCTCCTGAGCGAAGAACAGGGCCAGGAGCAGAAGGAGCTTAGTAATGGGAGGGGGAGGGGCTGAGGCCCTGGTCCTGCTTACCCACCACAAGCCTCCTCCTGACCTGGGGTCTCACCAATATGTATGATGTGGTGGGCCTTCTAGGGGCGTGGGTGGTGGAAAGGAGAATGTAGTGAGCTCATGGAGGGGAGAATTTAATAAACCTGGGGGGGGGGCAAAGAATACAGTGATTTTTGGGGTGGAGGGTACGGTAGATATGCTGGCCCTGGCTCTGTTCTATGCTCCTGTTCTTCCTTATCCCTCACTGCCCACCTCCCCTAAGCAGGTACAAGCAAAGGCATGAACACCCGGGCAGTGCCCCCCCAAACAGCACCCCACTCCCCAACTTCCACACCACCTCACCAGGGTCCGCAGCCAGCATTCCTCGCAGTGCACATGCCAACACTGGATTGACGTTAGGGGCATTGAATATGAGTCCTAGGGAAAAGGTGGGCAGAGAAGGAATCACTGAGGCAGGAACACCCTTCAAAGAGCCTAGATCATAGTTGCAGTGACCCTTTCCAACACTCCAGAGCACTAAAGCCTGACCAAGGGCACCCCAAATTCCCTCTTACTTACCATGCAGATGAGGCATTTGTATCGGTCCCCCCGAGATAGCTGCCGTTCAAGCTCCCTAACCCGAGCCTTCAGGGCCTCAAATGTGGTCACAGCTGAATCTTCAGTGATTCTATAAAGAAGATGTACAGTTGGGTAGTAGGCTGATATCCCCAATCTGAACCTCCAGCCTGAACCTCCCTTAATCTAGAACCACATGTGTTTCCTAGACATCCCACATGCTCTTTCTCCAATGCCCCACAGCTGCAAACCCCACTTCAAAACTAAACCCACTCTTTGTTCCTCCATCTCCACCTGATGAATTTCCGAACCAGATACCTGAGAACCATTCTCAATCATTCTGAGTCATTTTCAACTTCAAAAATCTCTCACTTCTCTCCTAATACCTCTGGAATCACTCCCTTCCTTCCACCTTTACCATTTCTGGTTGGGCCTCCTGGACTATTCTACGGATAACTCCACTAACCTGAGCAGCAAATAACTTCCCAGCTCTAGTCCTTTATCTCCATACCACCCTTCCAGCACCTAGAACTTACATAGTGAAAGCAAATCTGACCATTTTTACTCCAACATTTCAATGTCTCTCAGACTAAAGCTCTAAAACATTTCTTCTCACTCTGGCCCTGTCAGCCTATACTCCTCATCACCCTGCCTATCCACACAAACTGGGCAGTGTCTCCAAGTGTACCACCCTTTCCCAGTCTCTTGGCCTCTTTGCACTTTGTTTCCTCTGGGTTCTCCCAACCCCCTCGCCCAAACTCACCGTTCTGCTTCATCATCAGTACCACTACTGGGGAATTTCGGGGCATCCTTTATCCAACTCGACCCCAACAGTCTAACTGCAAAGATCTTTGTGTCCTCCACTAGACTGAGTTCCCTGAGGGCAGGCTACTCACTTGGCCAGTATTTACTCTGGACATAAGCCCCACTTCTGGCATCTGAGCATGAGTAAACATTTGCAAAATGAAGAGCTAGTCCAACCTCTAGGGAAAGAGAGATGTGGGGCTGGACAGATCCCATATAATCTAGGTCCCTTTGCCATAAGCCTGGCTTCCCTCGAGGGCTCCTTGTTTTTTCTTCCTAGGCCCATTTGATACCCTGGTAAGCCTCAGCCTGTTGTCCAAGCCCTGTACCACAAGGTCCCTATGACTTTTCCAAGACCGGTCATACTGCTGAACAGGGAATAGTTAGGACTCTTCAAGGATCCCTCCTGCCCCTCCTAAAACACTAGTGAATAGGGGGGCTACTCACAGAGGGAGAAAAATACCTGCTGGAAGAGTAGAAAAACTGTACTGGGGATGGCCTTAGGGAATAAGTATGATGATAATACAAAGAAAATAGCTAAAATTTATTAAGCACTTACTAAATGCCAGGGATTATACTGAGGAACTATAATTATTATCCTATTTACACCTCATAAAAACCTTGTAAGAAGGTTCTAATATTCCCATTTCTATACATGAAGAAACTAAAGCACTGAAAAATTAAATAGCAACCCAATGTTCACAAAGATTTGGGGAGATGGGATTCCAAGGTGGCAGACTGATCCTGTGGTCAACTGTGTGACTGTTACTCTATACTGGTTTATAAGGAGATGGACCTTCAGGCTAAGGGAACAGTAGAAATAAAGACCAAGAGGCCCAAGAATTCAGTTGGGCTGGAAGGCTCACTTGTAGGTAGGCAAAAGTTGCTAAAGTGACAGAGCACACTTGTCTGGCAACTCAATTCCACAGTCAGAAACTGAACTATCTCATGGGTGATGGGAATTGTGAGGATATTAGAAGAAGGTGTGATAAAACAGCTAAGGTTCCACAGGCATTTAATAAGAATGGGAAAAGTAGGACTGAACAGTAGGGAGGCCACAGGTAGAAACACAGTGAAGTGTGGCGTGGGCATGGACAATATCCTGGGGGTGCCTGTTCTGCCAGCTTGGGCGAGACAATGGTCCAGAAAGCTTGAAGTGGCTTATTACTGTTAGATACAAGTAGTCCTGGGAGATGTAAGAAGGGAAGTGGAAACATTTGATGGGCAACAACAAACTTCAATCTCTGATTTTTTTCTTTTAGGGTGCTAGAAGCAACACAGACTATAACTCCCTAGTGGTCTATGTTCCTGCACTGGGAGTGCTCTAGATCCACCAGCTCATGGATCCATGATTCTTTAGGCCTTGCTTCTCCAGGGATGCTGGGAAAGGCTGTCTCCAGCATACTGATTCCCACTCAGTCTCCTGGCTCTGGAAAGTCTTCACCCCACCCTCACAAGTACCTGCATAGCTGGCTCCTTCCCTGGCATTCTGCCTGATGCCATATGTACCATCTCCATCTCGATTGCTGTTAATAAACTCCTGATAAGGATGGGGAGTTGTGCTCCCTTCTCCAAGACCCATGCTAGGAATTTCAAAGATGGGAAACAAATGCCTAAGAATTCCAAGGCCACATCATAGGCCAAGATACAGCTCCAAAGCCCACCTGTCCTAGATTTGCTCAGCACACACCTGGCCTCTTAATCTTTGCTCTGGTGAAATACCCAGTCCTCCAGCCCCGGACCCAGCTTGGTTGTGAGCTATTCCTGAACCCCTCCAGGACATGAGGAGGTCAGATTCCCAGAGGAAGCCATAGCATCCTGCCTTTCCCCTTCCCTGGAACATGAAACAGATCTAGGGCAGGATTCCATACTTTGTGGATGAGGAAGACAGAAGTCATGGGGACGGAAGGGCTCTAATCTTGGCTAATCCAGACCTCCTGGTGATCTTTGCACAGGAGCAAGCCAATCCCCAACTCATCCCGAGAGCCCTACCTACTGGAGCCTGTGCTCACACAGGTGGGACTTTCCCCAGCCTTGGGTGGGTAGCACCTTCATGGATGGCCACTGGCTCTGGCCCCCCATCTCCCCCTCAAGCGCCATCCCTGATTAATGATCTTGTCTTTCTGATTTATGAGCAGCCCCTCCAGACGAGGGTGGGTGCCCCTTACAGCCCCGCCCGCCCTGCTCAGCTGGAGTAGGAGAGAATTATTAAATAAACATCCATACGTCATTCCTCCCCCCCAAAGCTGGTTGCGCCGAACCTGTACGGCCCGCTCCGGCGCTGACACGGAGCAGCTGCAGTGATTCATGGGCAGCCGGGCCCTGCGCTGCGGCCCATACATCATGCCAGCAGCACTCGCGGCCCCGGCCGAGATAAACTGATCAACCACAACGGGCTGGAATGAATTTATGACAACACAAAATGGAGGGAAACAAATGGGAGGTGACCCTGGGCCACCGACCCAGCCCTGCACTGGCCTGCAATCCACTCTCCTGGCAGGAGGCAAGATGGAACACTGGTCCTAGAATCAAGAGGCTGCCTTTTAACCCCAGGGAACCTACCCTGCAACTGGAGGGAGTGGGGTGGGTGCAGGGAGATAAGCAACGGCCAATGGCTGCAGCTCTAGGCAGCCCATACTGGACAATACCACCTCCTAGGGCCAGAACTGGTGTTGCTTGGGCTTCTGGAAAGGCAGTGAGATGCCCAGCTGATATCAAATCCTTGTGGCTCCCAGGGATAGAGGCCAGAGAGGCTGCCCAGCCCTAGGTAAAGTACTAATGATTCTCTTTTTCCTCTGCTAGAAAATCCTGGCCAAAAATTCCTACCAGAAGTGATGAGACCCAATGCTCCTGCCTAAAACCCACTGCGAGCGCCACCCGGGACAAGAAAAATGAAACCAATTTAGCTCCCGATTAAGAAACAGAAACTGGAGATGAATCAAGTGCGCCGGCTGGGCTGGGCGGCCATACATCACATTCCCCGGGCGGAGGCCGGCGCAGCGGGCAGGCAAGCAGGCGGACTGCACCTCCCTCCACCAAGGCTCCCAGGGATGTGGCCCAGCGATCAATTCACAGAGTCACGCTTAGCACCAGCTGGGCTCCAATGCCGGCCGTGTGCCCAGGGCAGCAGGACTCAGCTACACTTGGGAGGGCCAGAAGCCCTGGCAGCAGCCTTCCTTCCAGCAACCCCCACCACCCTGCTCCTGCACAGCCGCACTCACTTCTCGATGTCACTGTTCTTGCAAGTCTTCTGCATGGCCTCCTGCTTGCTGCTTTCACCATTGCTGGTGGATGGCATCTCTGCAGGGACACAGGGACAACTCATACTTTGGACAGAATGGATAGCACAGGTGAGGGCTTGGGCTTGAGTCAGTCACCACTATCTAGGAATCCCTCTCATACCCATTACTGCTAACCTGGGTCAGGACTTACCATCACTGGCCCATTTAGAGAACTCAGGTGTGATGCGGGTGCTGGGAGGGCCACCACTAGAGAAGAAGAAGAAAAAAGAACACAGTGAGGCCTGAAGGAATACAGACAACCCTGCAGGTGGGTACTGGGTTGAGCCCTGCCTTGGGCTTTCTATCCCATCACCCCATCATGCTACGCCTGTGCCCACACTTGCTTTAGGACTGCGCCCCGCAGTGCCTCTCTCTCCTTGGCTTCACCAGGTTCCTCGCCTGTGCAGGGGATGACGTCAGCCTCCGTGTATCTGGCATGGTGGTCAAGGACAATGGATCCTAGTTTTGTTGTAAGCCACGAGGGCAAAATGCTCAGGATTCCCCGCGGCCAAAGTTGAGCCTCTGACCCTGGAGGTGGTGTGGGCAAGTACCAGAGGTACTAGCTACTTTTCCTATTCCCAACGGCCTTCTGTGCCAGCCCCACCTTGCCCATAGACACCCAAGGATACTGTGGCTTCCCATACTCCAGAGTGTCATCCCCATCCACATCCAAGTCAGCATCACTGTCCGGGTTCTCTTTGCCGCTGCACATGACGAAGCCAGAGCCTGTGGGAAGCAGGGTATGAGGAGGGCCATGGACCAAAAAGACTAGGCCAAGTGTGCTTTATATGCTGCCTCTAAGTAGGGATCAGGTAGGAGGGCGAGATGAGGCACAAATAGAAACTTGGGCTTGGGATATATCGAATCAGATACTTAAATGCTCCTGACTGATATTTCAGTCCTTTTACAATGCATACCTCTTTCTCTTTGTGGTCTCTGTTCATAAATTGGCCCATTCATATGCTATGTCAAGTCCTCAGGCAACACCCTGCCCTAGGCCTGTTATCCATCTGCCTTCCAGTTCCAGGAAGAGCAAAAAGAAAGTAGGGAAATCCAAGTGCAAAAGATCGGCCCAGCCCCAACCAGGACCTGGGCTTCCTTATGTCCCATTGTCCAGTGTGACAAGTCCATCAAAGAGAACAGGCTGATTAAGGCCAATCAGAGCCATAGAGCAGGACCCCAAGCCAACATCCTGATTTTGGCCGCTAGGTCCTTGCCAGCAAAAACTCCAGGCAGCTGTTCAAATATTTGGTGTCTGAAGCGCCTGACATTAATTATTCATCTCTACCTCACGCAGCCCAGATTCCTGGACAAGTGTAGTTATAAAGGGATTAGGAATGGACAGACAAGGGAGAACAGGCATGCACACCTGCCTCTCAAAGCAGTCTATGAAGGCAACCAGACTCGGCTGGGGCAGGCCAAGGGCCAGGATGAACCCCAAGCGGCTGACCACTTGAGGTTCATTTGACAAAGCCACAGGCAGACTCTTGGCTAATGGGGAAGGGTGAGTTAATGAGACCATACCAAGCCAGTTCACCTGCTGGATGGTGTCCGACTCCCAGAACCACCCTTCTTGAAAGCCCATGGTCAGGGACCATAGAGCTGCCCCCCAGCCATTGCCCTACTTCTCTATGGGTCTCAGACCATAGCTACTAGCCAGCATGGCAGCTCTGCCAGGGATGGTGGGGTGGGGGGGACGGGACTCTATGGTTAGTAGGATCTGTAAATAAATCTTTAAAGAAGCAAGGAAGCCTTTAGAACTCTGCCCAATGATCTCAGAAATGTCTTGTCCATTCTTAGGTGCCTACACTCTCATCAGAGAAATAGGTAATAGTCCTGTAATAGGTCCTTAAGCCTCTTGTGTATTCCTTCATCCTGCCTACCTTTTAGTTTTAATCCTTTGTTTTCCTTATCCAAAACCATGTATGACTCAGTCAAGTTCAGACTCGTCAATTAAACCTGTGAAGATCTATATGCATCTACTTCTCTACACTCAATCTCTTCTCATTTCACTCCAGAAGCCCTGTGCACATGGACATGGAGACTGCTTGCTGTGTTCCAGCCATACATCGAGACCTTTGTTTATGCTATTTATTCCATCTGGAATATTCTCCTTCTACCAAGCCCTGAAAAGCACTTTCTTCCTGATCCTCCTCCAGTCTGTTCTCAAAGATTCTATTCATCCCAGAGGTAAGCAGCACAGAGAAAGAAAGAAAGAGGCTGGGCATTCCCTAGGCTCCACCCTCACTGACAGTCCTCATTTGCCCTCGACCTGGAGGCACTGACACACTTGAATAGCAGGCAGGTCAGCAGCGGGGCCATTAAGCTGAGAAAACACCAAGTTACAGCTCTGTCTCCTGTTCAGGGCCAGGTGTCCTGACAAGCAATTCCCGCCTTGTGGGTGAGTGGCACCTCTATAAACCCTCTGACAGTTTGGGAGACAAACTCCGCCATCAATCAGAATGTAGCTATCAGGTTCACTTATAGCCTGTGCCCCCCGAGCCTGCCAACCCCCCTCTTCCAAGTACACGCAGCTCAGCAGCCAGCCTCATATCCTCTGCTCAGTCTCTCCCTGCCTTGTGGGTGGGCAAAAAAGCAGAGAACCCTGGCACTACTCCCAAGCCCACTATGGCTCCCTTGGCAAATCAGGAAAGACAGGGTGCCCATACCTGTCAGAAGTCCCAGCATATAAAGCAGTCCTGTGGCTTGAAGTCCTTTCCTCTGTAGTATAACTGCCTGCCCTGCTTAGACCAGGACCCATCCTCCATGGGAACAGAGATACTGTGGTCTCCCAAATCCTATATGCTTTACGCTTCATGTCTGGGTACTTCCTATCCCATGTGCCTATAACTTTCTTCCTACGGGTCTACAAAACAAATACCTACTCAGTTGGCAAGTCTGACTTAGCTCAACCTTCTATCATTGACTGGTAGTGCCTACAAAGAGTAGTTGCAGAAGGAAGGACTTTCCACCTCTAATATTCTTTCAATCTTTATGGAGCACACCCTGTCTGGCTCAGTGTGGAGAATACACAAGATATGGCTCCCCAACCTCCAGGTACTCAGTGGGGGATGTGACTTGCTCAGGTACTTATACATCTTACATGAATGTGTCCCTTCCTTGCTGTCCACCCAAACTACTGCGTTACTCACCTTTATTACCATGTATTGTCATTCTCCCTCCCCAGACCAAAAAGTGCAAGGGTCTCAAGTGTGACTCACTGCTGTGATCTCTGCATTGTCCAGCAGGACTGGCTAGGCCCAGAGCAGGTGCCATATAACATACCAGAGCAGTACTGGCAACACTGCTCTATGAGGCACTGGGGCCCTGTGCCAGAAGTAAGGCTGGGCCTAGAAAAACCTTATGACACAGCCTTCCCTATTCTATTGCAGCTCCCAGCCAGGTGGCAACCTTCTGTTCCTCTGACCAGTGAGACAGGAGGGAAAGTGTGACATCTTATTTGCCAAGGAAAAGTCCTCTCTGCCTTTGGTCTGAGTAGTCTTCTCTGACCCTTACTCCATGCCCCAGCTGAGACAGATGTTGGGAACCTCTCCCTACCCCCACAGGTGTTCAGAACAGGCTGCCACTGCGAATTTCACTCTGGTGTTGCCCTAGTCTGCTCCATCCTCCTTCCCAGCACATTAAACTTTATTTTCTTAATGAAATGTCACTTGCTGACTTCTGGCAGAATCATAATAAAAAGAAACGGCCATAAAGCCGTTTTATGCAGACAGCACCCCCGCCAGTTTACCCCCTCCTGCTTAGAGAGGAAGGCTCCACAGTCGTTTTATGTTCTCAGCTGCTGGAATATCCCAAGCCAGTACTCAGAGGCAAGATGGCACAGATAGCTCCTTTCCAAGTCTCTGGCTCCTCTTCCCTGAAGCTCAGGGGATACTAGGCAAGCTGCCACTTTTTCTTTTCTTTTCTTTTTTTTTTTTAGTACCAGGGATTGAACCCAGGAATGCTCAACACCACTGAGCCACATCCCCAGGCCTTTTCATATTTTATTTTGAGACAGGGAATCGCTAAGTTGCTAAGGCTGGCTTTGAACTTGTGATCCTCCTGCCTCAGCTTCCTGAGCTGCTGGCATGAGGCATGTGCCACTGGTGCAAGTTGCTCCTTCTGGTGCTGCTTTCCAGGGAAGGAACTTGGTCCCTAGGACTTCCAAAATGACTCAGAGTATCCCTCAATCACTAGGAGGGGCCCCTTACTAGGGTTCTACCCCACCTGAAAGCAGCAAAAAAAGGCTAGAAAGCAAACTAAGTCTAATGGTGAGCAATGCCCAGTAGAGTGGGAGCCAGGCTTGCCCGGTCCTGGGCAGCTGGGCAGTACAAAAATCCCTCTTCCCAGTGAACACTCAGCAATACAGAGGGAGAGGGTTAAGTGCAAACTGATATATAAGTCTAAATTTTATAAAAACAACCCTTTTCCCATAAACTCATTTCTTCCTGGGTCATTGAGAAGGGAGAGAAAAAAAATCAGTGTTAATTTAATCAATTGATCAAATGATCGATTGAGAAACTGGAGATGCCTGTTTACTGGGGGTAGTTACGTCCTGAAACCTGAAACCACAAAAAAGGAGCCATCGATTTCCTCACCTGCTACTCTCAACCAAACCAGAACCCAGAGAGAAAGAAGTCTGGGGGTCCTCTAGAGCCTAATGTTCACCTAAGGGGAGGGCAGGGACAGCGCTTCCGGGGAGTTTTACACTGGAATTAGTTACAGATGCAGTTACGGTGTCTTGTGTAAACGCCATCGATTGGGGAGCTGACAGTCTGGGGAGCTGCGATGCGGGACAATCAATCGGCCTGCAGTGTCACCTGCCACCTCGCTGAACAGTTGACAATGCAATTATCCAGTGTGGAGGCAGGGAGTTGGCGTGTGTCAAACGCACTTAGCCACTTTCCGGGCCTCCTCGATAACGCGTTTCACTGCCTCACGTCAGGAAAGACGCTCAGAGACAGACGCCGTTTAAAACCATTGATACTTACTCCTTCTGCCTGGATTCCCTCTGTCCCAGCTTAACAATTGTGTTCCAAAAGGTGATTAAATCCCATCCGTTGCCACAGGGGACAGAAAGTGCCTTGCTCCTTGCCACCTCTCCTAACCCCTCCCAACAGGCGACAGTCATAACTAAAGGTGGTGGGGAGTTAGAAGCCTCTCTGCATTTCCAGCCAGCCTCCAGTTGTGTGCTGTTTCAACACCTGCCAGTGACTAGACCAAGCAGAACAGCTGTAGTTGGAGACATTTTTAGTATTCAAGACCCATTTGCCCGTGCCCTTGGATTCACAACACCTCTCAGCCCTTTGTCCCATAATCTGATGCTGAAGTTTTAGTAACAAATGGTTGAAAGAACTGCACCAAAGCTACCTTGCCTGTAGTTCTCTCTCTGATTTCTCATTCCAGGCTGCTTGAAACCAGTCTACATCTAAGACAGGAACTCAAGAAAAATGTAAGCTATAACCAGAATCTGGCAGGGCAGAAACGATGAATATCAAAATGTTTTATTCCCTCTCCCTACTCCACCTGTTTGATTCAAATGAGCTTCCTGCTCAATGCTTTCACCTAGGGCTCAATGACACAGCTGGAGACACCTTCCATTTCTTGTGTAGCCTCCTGGGAAATTCCTCCATCCCAACACACTTATTTGAAACCAATCATTCCCATGTCCTTTCTTTTGCCTGTCTCTTCCAGATGTGAGGGACTATAGGTTCCCCAAATCCAAACAGGTGAACTCACTGGCAACTCACTCACTACCACCATAGGTCTCTTCTCTAGGACCTAAGAGTAGCTGGAGTTAGGAAACAAGAAGAAAGGGGTACCATGACTAATCTGTCACATACCTCTTTTGACTAAGGGTAAGGGCAGGTTTGTCTGTAGGGCTATATAATTAGCTTATTTTCTACGGTTTGCATCTCTTTCATAGAAGGCCCCTGTTTTGCACAGGTTTTGTAGGGTACCCCAGAAAAGCATCTTTTTCTAACTACTTATCTCTTATAGGAGAAGCATTGGGCTTTGTGTGTGGCTCTCTATAAAAACAGCACCAGCAGGTTTGAAAACCTCAGGCTCTAAGACAGTAAGCAGCAGCTGAGCAGTCTGAGGACCTCCTTTAGAACTGCAAAGGTTAGAGTATTTCCTAGATACCAAAAATTTCTTCTGACTTCCTCTCTTGAAGTTTTTACCTATTTTCTTGGGTCTTTTAAACAGCTGTTTCCAGCTGGGCCTATCTTGATGCTCTTCTATTCTGTCTGGTTCTTCATTCTCTCCTAAAATACCAATTTCAAGCACTCCCAGGCCTCAAACATCTGGGCCTTCCCCTTAGAAACCAAAGGGGTCCCATCCTGAAGACCATTCCCTCTAGCAAGCATTTCCTCCAAAACTCTTGCTTGTCTGCTGCGTCCCACAGATGATTTCACTCAAGGTAACTGATCTGACCCATCAGCCCAATTACTGGTGGGCCTGGTGGGAAGGTTTGCTGAGAATGACGAGGAAGCCCTAGTCTGGGAGGAGGGACAGGGGATGATCGGATACGGAAACTTATCTGCAATTCTTCAATTCTTTCATATCTAACAAGGACAGCAATCTCTGTTCTGTCAGCACGCACAGCACAGCTTAAATGGGCCTCGCTGCTCGCCTGCTCATCCTGCCTCTGCCTCCCTCTCTCTGAAGTCGGCTGGGCAGCTTCTTCAGCTGGCGTTATCACTCCCTCTAACCGGTCTTGGCAGGCAATCTAATTCCTCCTGAAAAGGTCACCGCCATTTTAACTGCCTTTCAATCACATTAAGCACGCGCTGCCCGGCTTGCGGCCCAGCCCGCCCGGCGGGCGATCAATGTGCTGCACTGACACCAGCCCGCCTGGCGGGGCCACACCCAACCCCCCAAGAATTGGGCCTATTGGTTCTGGCCAGGAAGGGCAGGCTGACAGATGGCCAGCTTTTGCAGACAGGGTTCAGGAGCAGAGGCAGTCAGATCAGCCAGGGCCTCCCTTTGATAGCTCCCCCCACGGAGGAGGCCCAGCCTCCTCCGCTCTGCTCTCTCTGCCTCATGGCCCCCGTTGATCTCCCTGTAAAACAGCCTTTCAAGTCGGCCTGTCTTTTGACTGCACTAAGCTGTTTAAGAGGCAGCAGCAGCTTCTATCAGGAAAGCTGGAGCAATTCTCTGCAGATAAAGGCACCTCTGGCCGTTCCCTCTTCAAGTCTCACTCTCATTCTCGCTCTCCAAATCGCTCAAAGAAAAGCCCCCTTTGAACTCTCCTCAGGAATTCTTGAAAGAAACAACCACGCAGTGTAAACACTTAGGGAAAACTGATACCCACCCAGGGTCTGAGAGCCCCTCACACTGCTTGGCAAGTATGTCCCAGCACTGGGGAAAGACTTCACAGAAACAGCAAGCCCTGTGCAGCTTTACCCCCCGCAAACCCTGAGTGCCCAGGAGCCATCAGGTCCAGTTTTGTGCCAAGAAACCTAAGAAGCTGCCACAGTAATGGAAGATATGAATAGTTACAGCTGCCAACAAAGCTAACCCAGAGCATTCTGGAACTGACTCTGTACAGACTGCCACTACATACCTGTCTGCACAATTTCTGGGCTCATAGGCTCTGCTATTCATTTTTTCAGGGCCTGAGACACACCAGAGATCCAACATAAGACCAGAATGCAATGGCAACTAATGCAACCAGCTCAGGCTCAGGGAAATAGTTTGGTCTAACCCTCCTGATTTATGTTTTGGCTTGTCTCAGACACGTGGGTAATGTAAGAGAAGCCCACAGGCATAATGTCCCATCTGGGCTCTCAGCCTCTTCACACAGCCAGTCTATGATGCATGGCACTGGAGGTTTCTTAGCGTGAGCCCAGGTAGCATGGCCCCAAGGAGGCATGACCTTCTTCCCAGATGCTGTAAGATTCCCCATGGACCATATGCAGTAGTACTCCCAAGGATGTTTCCAGAAAATAGGAAGCAGACGGGAAGCAGACTGGCTCCCTTTATGATCTCAAGCTGCAATGCCAGCTGTGCTTGTGCAGAGAAAGAGAGAAGAGCTGGAGGCCAGGAGGCAGGCAGCTCCCTTTTTCCCCTGCCCAAGATGGGAGTTTGACAAGGACAATGACTTTGGCCACCCCACCAATTCTGCTGTCTGAACTGATATTCGGGGGTCCTACAAGTCATGTCCCTCCAAGTAGTTAGGAGGACATGGAGATGGGTAGGGCCCTGCAGACTCCTCTGCAGCAACTGGGGAGAGCCCAAGGGAAACAGGGAGCAGCTGGGCCCAGGCCCCTCTTGCTTCAGGGCAGAGGGCGCCCAGGGAGAAGGGATAGGATCAGAGTTAAAATTAGATTCACCAATGAAGCTCATGGGAGGTCAAATTTTGCCATAACTCACTCTCTCCTCTGTAACTGATTTCCCTGACACAGGGCTGAGGAGGAGGAGGAAAATCCAATGTGTTTGCCTGGAAGCCCTCAGGGCCCCCAGTGCTGGAGGTGTACAGCAGGTTGCTGGATTCTCATTTATCAGCCTTAAGAGGGATGGAGTGATAAATGCATAACCGTCCCTTTAATATTTTATGCAGGTGCTAACGCGGCTTGGCTGTCACCTTCAATGCATCACCCGAGGCTGAGAGCCCCCCTCGTCACTCCTAGCTTGCAGTCTCACAATTCCATTTCCCCACCCAAATACATCCATTTTAATATGCACATCACAGGCAAGCAGCACGGTCACAAAGGAGCCCCGCCAGAAGCAGTTCCCACGTGGTGGAATGGATGACCAGCCACCAGCCCTGGCCTTGCAATTCCCAACAGATGGATACCCAGCAGAGGCCTGTCTACCAGTGTCAATGCCTATGTGTCAGCTGCTTGTACCTCGGAAGCCACCTTCCAGGAGAGTGGTGGCCCGTATCCGCTTCTGCCCACACCACTCATACTCCTCAAAGCGGTTGCTGTTTTCATGCTCGATGTCCACGGCATCATCCTCAGCCATGCAGGAGCCTTCCCTCTGTGAAGAGCAGAGCAGGATCATGCAGGGTCCAAGCCATCTCCCCCTGCTCCCCAGGGCTTGCAAGGAAGGCACAGCCCAAGCCCCTGCTTATATACCATATAGGCTCCAGCTCTAGGGCTCCTCTGAATTAAAACCAATTTAGAGGTCAAAGACCTGGACCTCTTCCCAATAACTTTCCATGGGAGCCCAAGTGGGGAGTGAGAAAGAGTGAAAGCAAAGGGAAAGAGCAAACGAAAGGGAAAAGCTATTAAGATCACATGAAGACCCCAAGAGCCCACAGATTTGGGGGCAGTCAGCAGCTAGTGTCAAGGGCAGGGAGGGGAGAATGAAGGTGGGTGGTGACGGTCCCTCTACCTTAGAAAGGCAATGCTCCACATGCCTACTCATCTCCTGTTCCGATCCTGCCAGGGGGCGGTTGCACAGGGGACATACCTGCCCTTCATCTTGCTTCCTCCGTTTCATTTTCCCAATCCGAGCTGCATGGAGAAATCAGAAACAAGGCACAGAATAAGCAATCACTATAACTAGAGTCCCAGTGGAGCTAACACATTCTGACCTGCTGTCAGCCATTAGCCCTTTAGTTCAGTGCCTGATCTGGCCCTCATTTTACAATGCTTCCTCCTGCTCCTTTGGGGAAGAGAACTTCCCAAGAGCACCAGAGAGGAGATGGGTGCTAGGCCAGGAAGTGTCCACTCTTTGGCTATAGTTGGCTCAAGCTCAACGGATACCTTTCTATCTGCTGTCTTCAATGAGTCCAGTGGGCAAAGACACTCCAATTATTGCTAGATATCTCTTCAGAAGGTCAAGACCACAGGCTCTTTGGTGTCAGGAAATACAACTTTAGAGAACATTTCTTGGTTAGAACTCAAGGTCACCCCAGGGGCCAGATTTGGCATACTGTTTTCTCATCAATTAAACTACCCTTTTATTCCAGGGCTAAGAGCCCTGAAGTACAATCCCTGGAGTCCTACCTAGAATTATCCTAGGAGGAATTGGAATTTCTCTGATATCCACTGGTCCCATTTTATAGGAAAGGAAACTGAGGCCCAGTTATAAATAGAGAGTATCTGGGTCAGACCATGGATGGCCAGGTCAGGGTACCCAAGATACCTTGAAATGGAAACCCTTGATGTGCCTACCCCAAACCTGTTCCATCATTTCTAATCAGTACAGAGGGGCTAGCAGGCCCCAGAGTCAGAGGACCGCCTGCCATGCTATCCCGCAGGGGGCTCAGTTCCAAAGTGCACACTGCAAGCCCACAGCACTGCTAATTAATGCTGAGAGATGCAATCATTTCTAATTAGCTCACTAATCCCTCTCTGCAGTCCTCCTGTCACTGAAGCAGGGAGGGGTCAAAACAAGGGACTCTGTTCTCTCTAGTCCCTCCTAGGATACAATAGAAGGATCAGAGATGACCACTATAATACCAGACACTGAAAGGAGAGAAGGAGAGGTGCCTGTCAAGGAGAGGAAGATTCTCCACTGCAGAGCCAGGAAGAACAACTTACATACTATTTTGCTTTCTTTTTCTTTTCTTTCTTTCTTTCTTTCTTTCTTTTTTTTTTTTTTTTGGTAGTACAAGGCATTAAATCAGGGTGCACTACCACTGAGCTACATCCCCAGCCCTTTTTATTATTTTGAGACAGGTCTCACTAAGTTGTTAGAGCTGGTCTCAAACTTGTGATCCTCCTGCCTCAGTCTCCCGAGTTGCTTGGATTACAAACATGTACCATCATACCAGGCCAGGAAGAACTTTCTTATGTATGCTGACTCTGATGGGAAGCTTATGAATGCAATAAAGGAAGGAACACAGATGACAGTTATGGTGTAAATCAGAACTTCTACTCTTAAGTCAGGCTCAATGTCAGGCACCTTCACAATGAGGCTCATCTACATCTATAATGAAGCTAAGGTTGTTTTCCCCCAAGCGCTTAATGATCAATGCGCTTGCCCAAGAGGCTGACATGTGGCAAAGGTAACATAAGAAACCAGGCCTGACTCTGTGGTTAGAATGCTCTCCTGCCCCAATGGTTCCCCATACTTAGCATTATCAACAAAATTGATCCTAGAGTGTGTGCTAGGCTCCAGCTCCTGCCCGTTGAAGGTTTAAGGAGAAAGCTTCTTCAACTGCAGAGCAGTCTGACCTAGATAAAGACCCAAACCAAAGGGAAAATCACTGGCCCACCAAACTGAGCATGGAGTTTGAGAAACCTTGGTCTACAGCCCAGCCCATCTCAATTACCTGTGTTTCCACTATAGAGATGTGACTATGTTCTGGAGCTCCTGGGACTTTGTGGACAAAGATCCAGATCACATTGCTTTGGCTTACTTAACTAGAATCTCAAATTCAGGCAACCTTGACATTCCACGGCTGGGATGGAGAAGGGATGTAATACATCAGAAAGGCATTGAGCAAAGGCCCCCTGAGAATTCTAGAAGTCTAGTCTGAAGCAGTGTGCCAACACAAAAGGTCCTCACCGTCCAATGACTGAATAAAGAAATGAATCTCAGAACCACCAAAGAGGGCATGATACTGGATGCTCTCCTTGTCCAGGACACCCTAGGAGAGCAGATGATGCCTTATAGTCTCAGAAAGCTATGACAATGTACTGGGCTTCTTTTTAAAATCCTCAGGTAAGCAAGGCAGACTTAGTTTTCCCCTGCTATTCATCTTCTAAGACCTGAACTAACTTACCACAGTGTTGTACAGAGTCTTGTTCTCTACATGAGGCTACCTCTGAGTTAGAGGAGCCAAAGTATTTGCCAAGGAGTAACATGGTATGGTAGAAGCTCAGACTTTGGAAATAAACAAACTTCAGTTCCATAGTGGCTCAGTTACATCCCAGCCTGTGTGATTTTAAACAAATCACTTTCATGTCTCAGAGCCTCAGCTTCCTTATTTACCAAACGTGTGTAACATTTTCCTCTCAGAAGTGTTTTAAGAATGGTGCTTAACATGGTGCTAGCCCATAATGAATGCTCTCCCTTTTTCAGACAAGAGAGCCTGGCAATAGCAAACAAGTGATAAGAGCTGGGGATCTTGAACGTCCATGGCCTCACTCACTTACTCCAGAGACCCTAAGCAGCTTATAGCCAACCCACATATACACCACACCCCAGTCAGCACAAAAAGCGAGGATCATTCAATTGTGTTCCCAAACAAGAATGCTCCAGAGGTTTGAATCCAAAAGGGGGGCCGCCAGGTAGTGCATACATGGCCTGCTTTCAGAGAAGGCCTCTAAGAGCTGTCGAGCCCACGCTGATCACTTTTGTGAAATGTGGGCCGACTGATAACTCAAAGAGCCCTGGGATGAGTTAGTTCCTGTTGCCGTGGGAACTCCAGATCTCACTGCATTGTCAAGTCTCAGCAGAGAGGCTGTATTCACACTACTGGGCACTGATTAAAAACTGGAAGAAAAACATTCTCAGCGCCCTGCCGGCTTGTATAGTGAGGTCCCAGCAGTTTGCAAATTCAAAGCTGAGCTCCCGAGTGGAATTATGTAGCTTGTTCCTCATTCTCCGGCACTTATTGCCCCCCAGGGTTCTTCAGGGCCTTTAGAGAGAAATGGGCAAGAGCTGGGAACCATAACCTCCATTAGACGGACGGGGAAACTGAGGGCGGCAGCGGTGGTTTGGAAATACTCATGCGCTGTGACTGTGAAGTGAGTGGGCCCCAAAGTGGAAGAGACCCAAGCAAGCCAGGAGCAGCGGGCAGTGAAGGAGGTGGCCGGGGGTGGGGCGGAGGGAGGGGCCGGCAGGACTCACCATTCAGTCGGGTCTGCCGGTTGGCTCGCACTCGCAGGAAGGTCTGGGAGAGGATCCCGGACAGATGCAAAAAAAAAAAAAAAAAAAAAAAAAGGACAGAGCGTCAGACACAACCTGGAGTCCTGGCCCCCGCCCCAGCCCCCGACCCCAGTCCAGGCCTGCCCCGCCCCAAACAACCCGTAAACAAACCTACTTCCTCCCTCCCACCGGCCCCCCTGCTTCGCCGGCCGCTCCGGGCCCTCGGCATAGCCGCCGGGGCTGCTCTAACGGGACCCCGTGGCCGCCACGCGGTGCCGCCCCAGCCCCGGCGTCCGGTGCTCCGGGCCCCGCAGCCGCCCGGCTGGCGAGGGCGGCGATGCGGGCGGATTCCCCCCGGCTGCCCGGCGGCGGCGGCACCTCAGCTCCCAGCAGCGGCGGCGGCCATGTTGGCCATGATCACGTGACCCTCCGCCGTAGCGCGCTGGGGGTGAAAGTTCACAATGGGGGGGCGGCCGGACTGGGACCGGGAAATAGCCGCTCAGAACTCTGGTAGCCACTAGCTGGGGCCGCCCGCAGGGTCCCTCCCACTGCCCCTAGAGCCTGCCAGCCCCAGCTTTAGTGCCTGCAAGGTCCTTGCCCCCGCCCCACGGCCCCTCCCTGTGCGAGGGTTCCTTCCTCCCCAGAGCCTGGCCCCAACTCGCTCCTCCCGCACGGCCTCCCTAGGGCATCCGCTCTAAAGAGGCGCGTTGCTGCGGAGGAGGCGTCGGAATTGATCGTACGCTGGCCATCCCATCGCAAGCTCCCAACATTTTCCTACTTAGCCCAATGCATCCCGTTCCTGCTAGTAGAAGATTTCCCATATTTCACTGTTGCTGGACATCCCCTGAAGCTCCTCAAGAGGACCTCATGGCCAACACTGAGCTCAGCATCCCCCAAACAGGCACTTGCTTCCTGGGTTCTCAGTTCATAAGGGAATGCCGCCATCACTCAGGTGTGCCCACAGTTAATTTGAGAGTCGCTCTTGCCCCCACATTCTTCACCCCTCAATCATTCCTGTAGAATCCATCCTGAGAATCTCCCTTTAAAGATTTCTTGAATTTTCTCATCTCCACCTCCTGTGTTATCTCCTACTCATCCTTCCAGGCCTAATCGAAAAAGCTTTCCCTCCCTCCCTTCCATCTCTGTATCCTCATTATAGTTAGTACAAGTTTTTATCAGTGAGCTGACGACTCCAGGTTGAGGCCATGTATGAGTCATTTGGGTGAACCCAGAGCCCAGCATGGTGCTTGGCATAGGCAAGACATCCCTGAGAGTTTCTTTAATGGCTCTACCTACTTTGGTTGTTACTGCTCTAGTTCATAATCTTATTAGCTTTCTCAATTTGCACCTGTCTCTCAGCTCATCTTTTAGTCTCCAGTTTGTCTTCTTGCAACCCCTCCTCCACACAATTCACTCAGTATGATCTCTCTTTTGTTCAAAATTAACCCTATTTCCCCTTCTTTAAATCCTTCAGTAGATTTCCACCTAGAAGATCTACACAGTGACAGAGGCCTGCCCTGCTCTACCCTATCTCTAGACATTTCTTCCATACCTAATCCCTCCTTTTGCCCTCCTGACACTGTAGCTTTTTGAGCATCCATGCTCTGCACTCAGGGATAGATACTCCATGCCCCATGTCCCCCAGTTCCCTTCTTTAACTTGTTAAGGACTGGCAAGCCTTCATTTTTCCTTCCAAGTCATTCTTCCTCCCCATCTCCTAGAGTCTTGAGTTTGTTGCCTCCTCTGAGTTTTCAATAGTTCACTGGCTTCCCTCTGATCACATGTATTTTTATTGTTTGGTGAGGCATCTCTATTCAGTCACCCAGCATAAGGAAATACCAGTAAAGGAGAAGGACATTGTGAGGGAAGCCTTAAGCCCAGTACAGGGTTGGGAAACTTCTATAGTTTGGATCTGGAATGCCCCCCAGAGGCCCAGGTGTTAGTCTTGGTGTTATTGGGAGGTGGTAGAATCTTTAGAAATTGAGGCCTAGTGGGAGATCCTCCATCACTGGGGGTGTGCCCTGAAGGGGATTTGGGGACTCCAGTCTATCTTTTTTTCTTTTTTCTTTGGCTTTTTGGGCATGAAGTGAACTGGTGAACTCCTCCTTCTCCCATACTCCTCCTCCTTCTCCACCCCACCCCCCSCCCTTTTGTGTGTGTGTGTGTGTGTGTTGCTGGGGATTTAAACCAGAGGTGATCTACCACTAAGCTACATCTCCAGTTCTTATTATTTATGTTATTATTTTGTTTTTTATTTTGAGACAGGGTCATGCTACTTACTGACCTTGAACTTAAAGCCCTCTTGCCTTATCCTCACAAGTAGCTGGGATTGTAGGCATGCCCTACCATAAACAAATTATGTTTGTCATAATTTGTATGTTCTCAGAAAAGTCACTTCCATTCTCTACACCTGTTTCCTTAATAATAAATTGGGGGCAATGAGTCCTAGTTTATGAGGTTGCCAGGAGGGTTAAGGGGGGTAATGGTTAAGAGGGTTAGGCACCTAGCAGGAGCTAAGTAAATGGGAATCCAAATTGGAAACCAGTACCCCCTGCTTTTAAGGACTAGTTCAACAATTTTTTAAAACTTTATTTTTGGTACTGGGGATCTAGGGATGCTGAACTACATCCTCCATCCTTTTTTATTTTGAATTTTGAGACAGGATCTTGCTAAATTGCTGAGGCTGGCCTTGAACCTGCATGCCTCCTGGCTCAGCCTCTGGAGTCACTGGGATTACAGGCATGCACCACCATGCCTGGCTCACTTTAACAATTTTTAAAATCTAGCAAAACTGTAACTACTACTTGCCAGGCATTGTATAAAGAGTAGGGGATGCCTAGCTAGTTCCTGGGTTACTTTCTGCTTCATTTCCTACCAGTTCCCCTTTCCAACAGCACATCCAGGGCGTAGTTAGTATTCAGTTAGCATTGTACTTTCTAAAAATAAATAAATAAATAAATAAAAGAACTACTTACAGGTCCTCGGACATATCATTCTGTGTTGTACTTCTCTGTCTTTCCTACATAGTACTGCATACCCTGCATAGTACTGAATACCCTTTCTTCCTTGTTCATCAAGTGAAATTTGCTGTTTTTCCTTCCTTTCACTGTGTTATTTTAAAAATTTATTTATACCCATGTCATAGCACTGGGCCATAATTATCTATTTGCAAGTCTAACCCCTTGAAGGCAAGGACACTGGGCTGAATATGAGTGGTACTAGATAAACCTTTGAGTAAAGGAAGGATAAGACAAGGTCTTTGCCTTGGAGGAACTCCAAGTGGAGTGAAGAGTCAGATTCATGATAGATTAAAAGTGGCCACAGTCCTTTGTAGCTTTTCCTCTTGAGAGCTGGATTTCCTCATCCCTTGATTAAGGGCTAGCTTTGTGACTTGCCTAATAGAAACTGGTGGAAATCATGTTGTGTGAGTTCCAGATCTAGCTTTGGACTTGCAACTTTGGCCTTTACCCTCTTGGTGGGACATTTCCAGGAGGCTGCTAAGAAGCCAAGAGGCTACCCRGAAGAGGACCAGGGCACTCCAATTTCCCAGACATGTCATGGGACCATTTTGGACCTTAGCCCAGCCAGTCCTTAGCTGAATGAGCTGCATAAGTGAGGAAATGCCCAGTAAACCCACAGAACATAAGAAATAATAAGTGGCCAATGGGTTTTGGGATAGTTTGTTAGGCGTCAATAGATAAAACATACCTAAACAGTTGATCACAACATAGGGTGACAGGGGCAATAACAAGGACACAGGGGTCATGAGAAAAGACCACCAAGTCTTTTGGAGATGGTATTTGGGCAGGATGTTGAAGGATAATTAGAAATTTGATATGGTGGGGTAAAATAGCACTGTTAGAAGAAGCAGCTGTGTAAAGATAAGGAGGCAAGAAAGGAAAGGCACAGGGTGGGTGGGTAGCATTGATTCAATGAACATAGGCCACGGAACTCATGGAGGGGAGTAGCAGAAATGGAAGCTGGAAATACAGGTTGAATTTAAATCACTGAAGGTCTTGTTATGCAGAGGATCTTGAACTTTATCTTATAGGAAGTCACTTAATTTGATTTGCCCTTTAAGAGGTAAACTTAGACAGGGTCTTGGGTTTTAACCTGAGAAGCATCCAGATAGGCTCTAGAGGTTTCCTCACTTCCTGAGTTACTTGCATGTACAATGCTGTGTATGAATGTGTGTGTGATCATATATGTATTTTTTAGGCAAGAAACTTTTCTCATATTCTGTTGAGAATAAAAGAAACACCAACATTTTGGGGGTAGGAACAGGGTGTGTGTGTCAAGGAATTGAGGTGATTTTTGCCTGATGGCTATTCTTTTCCTAGTTCAGCAGGTGGTGAGACTGATGCTGTGAGAGAAGTAGGGCCTCTAAAAGCAGGGGTTCTGCTTAGCCTTTGCAGTGAAACTCTCCAGGACAGAGCCTCGTCTTCCTCTCAGACAAGGATGCCCAAGAGGTCATTTCTCTACCTCACATCAGGGTTTTCTGGATCAGGGCAACATCTCCTTGGGGGCTGACTGGGCTGCTGCTCTCAAATCAGGATTCATGAGGGTGGGGCTTCCTCTCCAGCACTGGCACTTTGGGCTACTCAGTTCAAGCTCTACACAAAGGCATTTATTGGAGGAGGTGCCGGTGGAGGCTGGTGTCAAGCCCACACTTGGCACTCCACTCTCCAAGCTCTGCACCCTGATTCCACACTGTGTCAGCTGGGAGGACAGAGTGCCTGAGAGGACATGTTTCTCTAGTTCCCACCAAGGCTTGGTGTGAGCCAGCAGGGACCCTGGCTCTCCACTGCAGCTTATCACTCCCTACTGTTTTGCCTCTCCACCAAGGCAGGGCTGTGTTTCCCTGTTCTTATTGGGGATCCCTCAGATGCTCTCCTGCCATTTAGATAAATTTCCTGGAGCAGGCCTTGTTTTCTTCTTTCTGACAGGGGTGCCCAAAGGCAGGGCTCTACCTCTTAGGTAAAAACTTCTGAGGGAAGTTCTTTCTCCTTCCTACACAAAGAAGTGTCATCTATAGCTAAGCTGTTATCCTTAGGCTCCCTTCGCTTTTTGCTCTGATCTTTTAGGACTGTGTGATGACTCCCTTCCTGTTTGCCCACAGGCAATATCTACCTTTTTCTCTACATGGGCCTGATACCAAGTTTTGGCAGGATTGACTGTTGATTTGCTGAAGAGTTCCCCACCCCCACTCCCCCAGCAGGGATTGAACCACTGAACCCAAATCCCCAGCCTTTTTAATTTTTATTATTACTTTTTATTTTGAGACAGCATCTTGCTAAGTTACTTAGGGCCTCACTAAGTTAGTGTGGCTGGTCTTAAATTTGTGATCCTCCTTCCTCAGCCTCTGGAGTTGTTTGGATTATAGGTGTGTGCCTCCATGCCTGGCTACACATCTTGCTTTCGAATACTAAAGTCTTCAGTGATTCTAGCCTATGTCTCTGGCTTTCTTATAAAGCAAAACTCCCTAGGATACTTCCTGGTGGATAGGACACTTAAGAGGTACTCTGAGCCCAGCAGAGCCCAGGGGACCTTGGCATCTTTCCTTAAGAACCATCCATCTTTAAGATCCATCCATCAGTGGCACCTGGGCCTTCTGAGTTTACTTAGACACAAGAGGGAACCAAACACAGTTCAGTCCTCTTCTCAGACCTCCCTAGGAGGGGAAAAGCTAGCAACAAGCCTGGTCTTGAAGCTCTCACCTAGATGAGCTAATCTCTCTCATGGCCACCTGCCCTCCTCACCTGGTATCTGTCTGAGTGGTGCAGATCATCAGTGGCAGATGAATGTGGTGATGCTGTTGGAGATTCTCCTTCCCTCTTGATGGAAGCAGACAACAGGAGGGACTGGAAGAAGAAAAAGGACAAGTGGCCTCAGACCAAATGGGACCTGTAGTCAGTCCCCTGGAGTTACCAGTCCTGTAGAGCTTTTGGGAGTGAAGCAGAAAGAAGTAGGGCAGAAGGTGACAGAAGGCCACCTTTGAGATTCTGAAGACATATGGTCAGGCACAGGAGTATGGTTATGGGAGAGAATGGTTGATTTTAGGTCTAGGTATAGACTCCCTCCCACCCCAGAGCATCCAAACCTCCATCCCTGCTGCAGTTAATCTCTGCCCCAGGGAACTGACACTCTCAGTCCACTCTCTGTGGGCTGAACAGTGGGCAGAACCTGCTTTATTATCCCTTAGAGAGCAGACACTCTGAAACCCCCATGAAAGGTTGGGGGTAAAACCACATATCCACCACCCTGCCTGCCCCTAATACAGGCTGATGGCAGCCCTCTATGGAGACAGTAAATTAAATAGTATGTATGAGTTTCCTGCGTGCAGCTAGGGATGTACGCTGGGTCCATTTATCCCTGTGCTGTGGCGATGACCCCAGCAAAAACCCCAGCAAAACTAATCCCCCCATGTCAATCCTGCACGGCCTCTTCTACATACGCCTGCAGTTTAGATTAATAAACTGTCTACTTTAAATTGTTTGCGAGCACCACAATTCTAAATACCACATGGCACATTCAGCCTGAGAGCCAGCTCTTGCCAAGGCCTGTTCAGCTGCAAACTGGGGGCCCAGAGGCCTAAAAGCAATCCATACTTCCTCCCCCCACCTTCTCCAGCCTGCACAGCTCTGAGCAGGAAGCACACAATTCCCTAGGAGTCCTCCCCAGCCTAGAAAGCCATGCCAAATCGCCAGTGACAGCCCAAAGAAAGCAATTTGGGAAAGATGGAGCAACCATTTATCCTTCATCTCCGACTGAGCCTTAGGATGTGACCCGCATGCGGTGGCCATGTTGCACATCCTCAGGCAAGGGCTCTGGGAAGGGAAGGGGCAGCTGCTGATCTGGCAGGGATCCCTGACTCGCCCACAGCCCAGAGAGGAGGCTGCAGAGAGCCTGGAGTGGGATTCCCTGCAACTGGCAGCTCCTTTTTCACCCACCCAAGCCCCAAAAGAGGCCTGTGGGCAACTCAGCCCCAGATCAGATAGAAGGTGATGTCAGGCAATGCCCTTCTCCTCTGGTCCCAACGCTGAGGAGGGTGAACAATGTGGGTCCCCCACCATGAAAAACTCATGCTTGTGTGCACTTTCTCTCTCTCCCTCCCTTCCTTCCTCTCTCTTTTTCTCTGGGTTAGAAGCCCTGAGAGGCCTCAGCATTACACCTGGGGCAAGCAGAATAAAAAAAGGTCACTGGTGCTTTTTAAACATGGACCAAAAAGCAGTAAAATGTGTTTTGAAAAAAAAATCTCAGCATTAAATCATGACTTTTTGCCTGGCTCTTCGCCTCATTAAAAGTGGCCTTTTGGAAGGTAAAATTATCATTGTAAGCGATAAGATCTTTAAGAAAATAATTCACGGCTTCTTCACCCTTTAATATGATAGCCGCCACCGGCTAATTTTTTTCTTAATGGCAACGAGGCCATCAATCTTGTCTAAGGCCTCCTCGCCCTCTCCTCCTCCTCCCTCCCGCCTTCTCCCTATCTTCCTAGTCTCTTGCTTCAACCTTCTGCCTCCTACCTCTTTCCCCCATGACCTGCTTCCCTAAAGCTGAGGTCAAGGCCAAGGATAGGTCAGGAACTGTTCAGCTGTGAGGATTAAGCGTATATCTGGAAGTGGGTGAGCAAGTGTCTCTTATCTCATCTGGTGGCCACTCTTCCTGTGTATGTGGTTGTGGGAATGTGCCCAAGTTTAAGACTTCCTGTGTGTGTATTCTGACCAGGCTTTGTGTATGGGTCTGCATATGTGGGAGGTAGGAATGGATGCAGATTTTTAGGATTTGGCCTTAGAATATTTGGCCTTTCTGGTGTCCAAGTTCCCAAAACTGCCAGCCATACTCAGATGTCAGATGTCACTGGTGTATTGGCCAATGTGCAAGTTTTGTCATGACCTTCCTTAACCACACCATTCAATGCTGCAGGCTGGGATGAGTTTGGCCAGTGTGGCTCCCTACCTCTGTGAGTCGCAGTTGCCTGGCTTTCCCACCTTTCTCTTTGGGGCTGGCAGGCCTTTGCCTCCTTGGCCAGGGCCTGCACCAGTCCAAAGCTGGGCTCAGTTCTCTGCTTCTCCTCTTCCAGCTGACTGCAGCTGAGAGACTTCTAAAATGAAGGTGCCAAGTTCACCTTTATCCTTTGTAAAGGCCTGCAGAATAGTGAGGCCAACCCTGCAGAAGTGATACCTATCACTTTGGCTCCTTTTCCCAAAACGACCCTCTCAGAGGTCACCAATGACTTTAAGTCTTCCAAATACAGTGGGTCCCTCACCAGCCTTTCCCTTTTGCATTGCTGAGTACCCATACATTCCAAAACATTTTTTTTCCTTAAGATCTCAGATACTATGTTATCCAGTGGTCCTCCTAACACACTAACTGTCCCTCCTCTGTCTCCTTCCCAGCCTTCTGGACCTCACCTTGACTGGAAGTGCAGGATTCCTGAGATTCCCTGAGCTTCAACACCCATGCCTCACTCCCTATAATATACACTAAGAGGGGGTTATTTTGAAAACTTATAAGAAGGGCAACCTTATGCTTTGGGTGGAGCAGGGGATACTTATCGGTAAGGGCTTAGTGTTCCTCTCCATGTCCTTATCCCTTCCAAATCATCATCTTTGGAGAAGAAGTACCATCTTCCTCTGTAGGGAGTTCTCAGCATAAATTATGTTATTATACTAAGTTTCTCTGGCCCCTCCTTTGAGACAGATACTCGCCCTTCATGTTTCCTTTCTCCATCTGATGCTTTCAAGGTTCTCTTCCATAATGTGTGTTTAGAGGGGCAGACTGTCTCCTTCGATCACCAACATCCTCTCTGGTTCCTTACTGCATTGCACATACACCCAATGGTCTGGCTTCTAAGGCCCTGCACTGTCTTGAACTCAATTTCTATATTTTTCTTCACCTGCTACAGCTCATCTTCCTCCTTTTAGTCTCCCAGCCTTAGTGTTTGGGTTGCCCATATCCCCAAGCCACTCTTGACTCTGATCCCTCTCCTTCCTCCTAGGAGGAAGTCAGATGAAACACCCCCACCCCCACCCCACACACACAGTAGCTCTAGGCCTTAGGTTGATGTTCAAACCCAGGAGACATTGGGTATCCAGGAGGAGCTCCTTTCTTTCAGGAAGAACCAGATCTGGGTAGAATTAGGTCAGGATGGACAGGAGGAAAACATAATTGACCACCTACCTTGGGGGTGCCTGGAGCCATGGCATCCTTCAGAAGGGAATTCTTGCTGCCAAGAAAAAAGAAAACAGGGTTGATCGTTATACCTGCTGCCCAGGGTATGTAAAACTAAAGTACCAAGAAGAACCTAAGAGAGATGGTATAGCCAGCCTTACCCAGCCAGCTTAGCCAAGTACCACGCAACCTATTCTACACAGTGGCCTGGCCTACCTTATCAGCCTTTATCCGGGGCCAAGGGCCATGCTGATCACTGGTAGAGAGATACGCATACAAGGCATGGGAGACTCCTCAGTGGATCTGAGGAAAGGAACTTTACCTGACTCCTGGGATTAGCCCTAAACATTCTGCCTGCCTAGGAGGCTTCCTTTCTTTCCCAACGCCCTGTCCCCAGCCTGTTCTTATCTCCTATGGGATTGGGGTGATGAAGCTGACATGGCTCTTGTCAATTCTCCCTCCAACACGCTGCAAACTGTGTTAGGCCAGGAATGATCTCCCCCTGATTCAATTTGTCAGCCCCAGGCCCTCCGGCATCGGGCGCGGCAGGCGGGCGGGAGCTGGGCCCTGAAATATGGTGGGCAGCTCAGAGAAGGCGGGGGCCGGGGCGGGAGGTGATGGATGGGCTGTGGGGGAGGCGAGGACTGTGTTTAATAACAAAATTGGTATGCAAGGCCACATCCCGCGCTAAGCATGAGTGATCCAGAGCCACAAAGTATTACAAATCCCCGCTAAACAGATGCTGACAATGGAACAAGACGTATCAAATCAGATCCACTTCAGAAACATTAATATCCCTGTTCCTGTCCCTCCCTGCCTGCTGCCCTCGCTATGCTCACCACATCTGTGCTCACACATTTGCTTGAGTGCACACACACACACACACACACAAATACATGTATACAGAGGTGCTGGCCAATACATGTACAAAGGCAGATGCAGCCCATTTTTATAGGGTCTCCACATATACATACATGTAGAGCACATCCATGGAAACATTCAGAAGGCGCAAAAGATATACACACATCCAATGCAGAATATGTGAGATGTATATGAATATACTAAGTCTGTTTACCTAGGGAATACCCACAAGAGCTTGGCTAGTATGCACAAGGCCCTGGGTTCAATCCCCAATACCCCAGGATGGCTTAAAGAACCCCAAAAAACAAAAAAACAAAAAAAATAGGACACTCCAACAGATGTGCTTAGACATCCACAGGGTCAGACTTAGACACACCCAATGTGCAAGTAAAACACAAGCAGATTTGGATAAAGTAGTGACTTCAATGGTGAGGAGGGCTGTTTGCCAGTCCAGGGAGTATTTCTGTGTGTTTGTGTATTGCAGTGCTGGGCATAAAATCTAGAGTCTTACATATGCCAGGCAAATGCTCTACTATTGAATTAAATCCCCAGTTCCTGGAGATAGTTTTGATTGTTGAAACTTGGGCGGGGAGGGGGGATTACTACTGGCATCTAGTGGGTAGAAGAAGCTAAACATCCTACAGTATCATGGACAGCTCCTCACGAATCAGACTTATCTGACCCAAAATGTCAATAGTGCTGAGGTTGGGACACACATATCCATAGACTATAATGCTGCCAATAGGCACATATACAAATGCAGTTACACCTAGAGAGTGCATACAACACAGGGTTGCAGGGTCATAATTCCAGAGATGTGGCCATAAAGACAAATTCAATGCGAGGAAAATCTGCTCATGCACACAGGTCCACATAAACTGCACAGGTAAGACATCCACAGGCACTGACACAAACCAAGATGCACAGTCATCTCCAGAGGTACACACATATGGGCATACATACAAACACACATACACCACAGTGCAGAGGCCCTTGGCTCAGCAATAGGGTAAAACCAAGGTCTGAGTGTAAGAAAGAGCTATTACCAGTCAGATCACACAGAAGGGGCATCGTAGACTAAGAAGGACAGACAGAAAAGGTCCCATTCAATTACCTTTCATTCCCATCCATTTTAGGCCTTGATCTAGGCATCGGAGATACAGAGGGGAAACTGAGCTACTCTCGAGGAGCAACTTGTTGGTGAGTTCATGACTTTTATCATTACTATACTCTTCAATTCACTCAGTAAGCAAGTACTAATATCACCTTTCTGCCTACATAGTAAGGCATCTAATGTATACAGTGTGTTTACCAGGCCCTATCCCCAACTGGGATATAAGTAGTATCTAGTTGGATCAAGTAAGAACAGAAAAGGAAAGAATGAACAATTATTGTACACCCACTATATATCATAGTTACAGGCTTTCCTGCACCTCCACAGATACTGGGGATTGAACTCAGGAGTGCTTTACCCCAGAGCTACATCACTCCTTTTTTGAGACAAGGCCTCACTAAGTTACCCAGACTGGCCTCAAACTTGTGGTCTTCCTACTTCAGTCTCCTGAGTTGCTGGATTTCAGGTGTGCAACACTGTGCCTGCCTAAGACACAGGCTTTAAATGTCTTATCTCACTGAATCTTCACAAAAACTTTACAAAGTTGACTAATGAGTTATGTGACAACTTTGTGTTCACAGTCTGTGAAGGGTTTGGGATTTGAGTTTGTATCTGACCAAATCTGAAGTGTTGGTTTTTATTTTATTTATTTTTTGAGACAGGGAAGGAGGAGTCTTGTTACATTGCCTAGGCTGGCCCTGAGTTCCTGAGCTCCTGAGATCCTGCTGCCTCAGCCTTCCAAGTAGCTGGGACTGTAGCCTCCATGCTCACACAAAGTAATCATTTATATATATTTAGTTGTTGATGGATCTTTATTATTATTTTTAAATTTGTTCACTTATATGCAGTGCTGAGAATCAAACCCAATGTCTCACACATGCTAGGCAAGTGCTCTACCACTGAGCTACAACCCTGGCCCAGAGTGCTTATATATATATATATATATATATTTTAGTTGTAGTTGGACTCAATACCTTTATTTTATTTATTCATTTATTTTTATGTGGTGCTGAGGACCGAACGTAGTGCCTCTTGCGTCTAGGCGGGCGCTCTACTGCTGAGCCACAACCCCAGCACCCAGAGTGCTCATTTTTAAATTGCCCACATCATCTTTCTAAGGATATGCAGGGCTCAGGCTTATTTGCAGAACTCTGAGTTTTTTTCTCCTCTGCTTGCTGTGTCACTTTGGGGATGGTCTTACTGACCCTGGGCTTCACTTTGCTGATAAATAGATTTGGGCCATTCAGGGTCAGGATGTCCAGCCTCTTACTTGGTCAAGTTCATGTTCTGGATCTTTTCCTAGCAATGCTCTTTCCTTTCCTTGCATGGAGCTGATACCAGCTCCTATTCTTTCCCTTGCTCTGAGCAAGGGCCCCTCCCTACCTTTCCTCCATCAACCCCATCACCTCCAAGTTTGTTTGGTCTCCCAGAGACTGAGGAGTCTGGTGAGGGGCCTGCCTTGGAAAGAGAGGTCTGTGCTCTGGGAGCTGTTGGCAGCCCAGCTCCCGCCCAGTCCATCAGCTCTGCCTTCTGTCCCTCCCTGTTTCCACAGCCCGCCCTCAACGATTTCCTCCCTTGCTCAGCCACTCGCTGCCTAGTGATCCATGGGTTTTAAATTATAACTGGGACCCAGGAAATGCGTTCCTAAGTACAATATTCATGGGCTGGGCTGACACTTTTAATTAAGGTGATTTACACTGAATTATCCTTGGAAATAAAGAAATGGTGCACTGCCTGGGAATAAACCATCATCACCAGCCGCCTTTGTAAGTTACACTTCGTTTTAATCTATTTGGGGAATTGTTTATCTAGTTCATTACCCAACCAAACACCGAGGCCGGCCTTAAATAAGGCTTAAGTGGGGGTGAGGGCACTGCCATCTCTTTAGCCCGCCTCTCCTCCAGAGTCACCCAGCCTCCATTGGCTTATTTCAGTTCTCTTACAGCTCTGCCCAAAGAGGTAGTTCTCCAGCCCAGAGGCCAGCTCTCACAGTGATTCTAGAGGCCTCTGAGAGAAGATCTCTGAGCTCAGGCCCCAAGAAGCCAACCTGCACCTTCAGCTTGGTGCAATCTTGTCATGACTAAGGCTGTTTCTTTCCTCTGGGTGGAAACTCCTGCCTGAGGGCCACAGAGAGGTCTGGGACCTGCTCGTCCATCTTCAGCTCCCATCTATGTTCCCTGCTTGTCTCTGTACACATGCAGTTCCTACCCTATCACCACCCCAGAGGTGTCTTAAGCTCAGCTTGCCCAGAACCCTGCCTGTTGCTTCCTCCTCTCTTCAGTCACTTGTTTCTCTGCTACCACCACCCTCTCAATCAACCAGGTCAGAAAGTTTTCTCCAAGTAAGTACCCCAGTTAAGTCTTCTGACTTCTTCGTCCTCCAGGTGTCTCACCATCCCTTCTCCTGCATCCCCACCGCTACTGCCATTGTCCTAGGGCAGGCTCATCAAGCATCCTCTGCACCTGGCCCAACCTCCTCATTTGCCTCCCTGCTTCTGCCCCCAGTCCATACATGCCACTGGCTTCCAGAGCATTTCTTCTGCAGCCCATCTTGCTCTGAGAGAGCTTCCTCCTGGCTCACAAATATTCTCATTACTGCTACTACGTTTAGACTCCTTCCAGCATGGAATCTGTCCTCAACCTAACATTGCCCTTGTTCTGTCTGCTAAATCCTGGGGTCTAAAGGAGCCCTTGTGCAGGACTGAGGAAAGACGGGTGAGGACGGTGTGTGAGCATTGTCTCTGATCTCAGATGTGAAAATGTTTTGAAAAGTCTATGTGCTGTGCCAAAGGAAGTTCTGATTACTTTTTCTGGGAGGGTCTGGCTGGCCATGTACCCATGGGAATGTGCATCTTTGGGAAGGTGGTTCTTTCAAGGTTGTGTGAGCACACTTATGTATGTGGAAATGAGATTTATGTGCACACCTATGTGTTGTGCCTGTGTTTGTGAAGGGTAAGTTCCCTGATTTTCCTGTGGGCCCCTGGGTATGACCACAATAGCATCTGGTTGCCAAAGAAGCCTGCTTTGTGCTGTTGGGTTGACAGAACTGATGGCAGAACAGACCCACCTGGAGAGCCACTCAAGCAGAGCCACGTGGGAGAGAGGCACTCACCCAGGTTGATGCAGGGCACCCTGGCAGCAGCATCCAAAGATTCAGGAGTGGGCCAGTCTAAGGAAAGTTCCCAGAGGCAAAGGAGACAAGGCAGGGTGAGACAGGGAAGGGGTCAGTTGGAAAGCAGAAGGCAAGGGCTATCAGGGGTAAGAAGAGAGAGGAGCAGCTGGGAGAGGGAACAAGGGGAAAAACAAGAGAGAATTGGAGAGCTGGGGAGGAGGCCTTGGTCACAGGCTGTAGATGGCGAATGCCCGCGGTTGGGCTCTGCCCTCTTATGGGACTCAGTTTCTCCATCTGTGAAATGGCCACTCTAAGGTCCCTCTCTGCCAGATGCTGATGTTGGGAAGAAGAAAGGAGGGCACATGTGTCAGAGGCCTTGGTGTCTCATCTTTTCCCAGCCTCCTTTGCTCTCCTTCTGTCCTCTGGAGAGCTGGCAGGGGCGGGGCAAGGACAGCAGAGGCTGGGGCTCCCTCCGCACCACCCGCCCCGCCCCGCGCACGCACGCGGCCGGCCCGTCAGCCCGGAGGGAGCTGACACGCTCCTTGGGAATTTATCACGCACCCAATTACAATGTTAATTGGCAAGTTCCTGAAATCAATTAATTCGCAAATTTTTTCCAATTAAAAATCCAGATAAATCACGAGGGCGGCGGCGGGCCGGTCCAGCCTGCAGTCCAGTGGGCGCAGCGGCCGCAGGGAGGGGAGCGCGGGCGAGGAGAGGGGAGGGGGCGGCGGGCGCGGCTGCCCTTGAACGCCTTTGCCGGCCGGTCCGACTGTCAGCACGCCGGGCGCGGCGGGGCCGAGACAGATAAAACCATCGACCCGTCGCCGCCAGCGCTTCGGCTTTATCGATCCGACGGGAATTTCACTTGCTGTGCAGATCCCGCTGTCCGGCTGTCAGACACCCGCTGGTGGGGAGGGGGGCGTGCCGGGGGCACAGGGCGTGCACGTGTGGAGGGCGGCGTGGGCGAAGGGGGTGCTGGGCAAGACCCGGACGTGAGGGGACAGATGCTGGGGACGCAAGACACAGCCAGAGGGGCAGGAAGCAGATGCGGGGTGGGGTAAGGTATAGGGGTTAAGGGTGTGCAGAAAGGGGATGCTCCTGGGAAGACGTGGGGGATGAGGGATTGTGCAAGGTCCTGGATGGAAGTCGAACAAGGAAGGCTTTGGGCATTAAGGGATGGCCTGGGCAGTACAGGTGTGTGTGTGTGTGGGGTGTTCCCAATGAGGAGGCAGAAAGAGAGTTCCCATTCTCCAGACCCTCAAGGGTACACTGCCTTTACCAGACTCTGCAGGTCCCTCCATCTCTGCCTCTGTTTTCAGTTTCCTGAGACATCCTCCATTGGGAGCAAATTACACACAACTCTTCCTGGACATCGAGGTATGGCACTCAGCAGCAGGATGTTTCTTTCACTTTCTACCCCTGGCAGGTCAGTCTTGGATGTGTAAGTGTTTGGGGGAGGTGGCATTAAGAGCAGGGGCACAGGAGTCAGATTTCTTGAGTTTGAATTCTATCTTTACCACTTATTAACTGTGCAATGTTAGTGAAGTCACTTAACCTTTCTGTTTCCTCATCTGTAAAATGGGTAATAATTAGAGTTATGTACCACATAATGATGTTTTGGTCAATGACCCACTGCATGTGTGGCAGTGATCACATATTATGTCACCTAGTGATATTGTAGCCATCTTAGTCCTGTAAGTGCATTTTATGATGTTTGCATGACAAAAATAGCATAAGGACACATTTCTTAGAACATAGCCCTGTCATTAAGTAACATACAACTGTACCACTTACCCCAAAGGGTTGCTGTGAAGATTAAATAAATTAAGGCAATGTAAAGTAGTTGGCACATAGTGAATGTTCAATAAGGATTATTATTAGTAGTAGTCTTCTTTGGGGGTTTTAAAGTATGCCCACAAACTCTTTTGATACTCCTCCTTTCAAGAAGCAGAGCTTATAGAGCTTAATTTTCCTCCCTTGAGGGACTGGGCTTGGTGACCTGCTTCTATTGAATAGAATAGCATATAGGGGAAGCGATAGTGTGTGAATTCCTAGACTATGAAAGGCATTGTGGCTTCCCTTGGATCACATGTTTGTGGGAATTCAACTGCCATGTCAGAGGGAAACTCAAGCATCCCTCAGAGAGACCTACATGTCAAGGAACTGAGGTGTCCTGCCAACAACCATGTGAGTCCGCCATGTTAGAAACAGATCCTACCATCCCAGTCAGATTTTCAGATGACCACAGCCTTGATTAACATCTTGAGACTGTAGCCTCATGAGACACCTCATGAAACCAGTAGCCACAACTACCCACAACCACTCAGCTAAGCTGCACTAGAATTGATGATCTACAGAAACTGAGATTATAAATGTTTTAAGCCACTAGATTTGGGGATAATTTGTAACATAGAAATTGACAACTACTACTTCTTCCTTCAGTGTTCTTCCCTCAGAGCTGGGCACAGTGGCACATGCTTGTAATCCCAGCTACTAGGGAGACTCAGGCAAAAGGATTACAAGTTTGAGGCCAGCAAGGGTAACTTAGTGGGAGCTTGTCTCAATATAAAAAGGGCTGGGGATGTACTTCAGTGGTAGAACACCTCTGGATTCAATCCTTTGTACCTACACACACACACACACACACACACACACACACACACACAGCCTCCTCCTTCAGGAAGCCTCCTTTACTTTGTGCTGGGTTCGGTGCCTCCATGATACCCCCACAACTCCAGCTTTTCCCATATAGCAGCTTCTTTGCCTTGGGGTTTGTAGTGCCTGACTCTGTATTCTCATATTCTGAGCTTCCCAGGACAGGGACCATTTTGGATCTTTTGCACCCTGCATGGGAGGTTAGGTGGGAGAGTAGAAGGAAAGCAGATCATTCAGGTTTGATGACTTGAACTAAACAAAAAGTGGTGGGATAGGGAGAACCCCCTGTTCTCTTCTACGATATGACCTTGCCACTCCTCCCATCAAAAGGGGCACTTTTCCTTTTTCCTTGCATCTGGGTGGGCTAATACTGCCTTCATCAATAGAGTACAGTGGAAGTGACATTAAATGACTTCTGAGGCTAGGTTATAAAAGGTGATTTAGCTTCCATCTCATTGGCTGGGACATTTGCTTTTGGAGTCCTAAAAATCTACCTATCCCAAGGTTATTAAGCTGAGAAAGGCCAGGCCACATGGGAAAGTCATGTGCAGGTGCTTTGGTCCCAGTGCCATTTGAGGTCCCACCTGATAGCCAGCATCAACCTCCAGATGATCCCAGCTCCCAGCCACTGAATCTTTCCCAAGACCTCTGGAGCAGACACTATCCCTTCTGTGCCCTGTCTGAATTCCTGACTTCACAGATTACACAAGCATAATGGAATAGCTGCTTTATATTGCTAAGATTTGAGATAAGTTTTTATACCTCTCCTCTGCTCCCCTCAGGGTCCAGCTCCTCCTCAGGGTCCTTGAGGAGGTTCAGCCTCCTGTCTGTGGAGTGGGAACACACCTGAGCACATTCTCAAGATTGTTACCTCTCAGTCCTTGAGATTGATGGAGATGGTACTGCTCACTCGCCTGGAAGGCAGAACCAGGCTGAACTTCTGATGGGGCTGCCAGGTCTCATACCAGCTTCTTTATTCTGCCCCGAAGCCTTACATGGCAATAGTAAGCCTGGGGCAGTAACTATGGCAGTACTAGGCCTAGGGCAGTGACTCACTCCTTTCCAACTCCTCTTCTTATCTTTGAGGTTGGGGCCCAAGGGGTCACTCTCCTCCTACTCTCCAGTACCATTCTGCTGGAGGATCTGAGGATTGAAAGCTGAGTGGTGGAGAATGACAGCAGGATCCTGGCTTCTCCCTAGAGGCTGGGGTGTGGCCAGGTGGCTGCTCCTGAAACCTGGTAGCTGGAGCTTCAGTGAAATCCTCCATTGTGCAGGCCCCCCACAGGGGACTTACCTGGTGGGCAGCTGGGCCAGCTGCTCCAGTTCTTGTTCCATATGTTCTTGTAACTCGCTGGGCCTCAGCAGGACCTGGCAGATGGGGCAGATCGGGGCCTGGCTGTCAAACAATGCTGCTGCTTTCTTCTTACCTGGCAGGGGAAGGATAGACATGCATTAGCTGTTCCAGTCCCTGTAGGAAAACTCAGCCATATTGGCTAACACCCCCTAGGGCTTCTTCTTCTTCTTCTTTTTAAAGTATTTTTTATTAGTTATTGATGGATCTTTGCTTATTTATTTGCTTATATGTTGTGGTGCTACAAATCGAACCCAGTGCCTCACACATGCTAGACAAGCGCTGTACCACCGAGCCACAACCCCAGCTCCTCCTAGGCTTCTTGATCTAGAAGAATGGTGAGTCGGAGGGTCTGAGAGCCCACAAACATCACTCATTTTGGGGTTCCAGATGCTGTGGCCATAAATGGTGCCTCCTCAGCTAGCTGCCCCTCTTGGAAGTCTATTGGGACACAATGCTCTGTGCAATCAAACTTGATCACTCCATTTCACACATGTTTAATCATACCATCACCCAGAATATCTAGAGGTTCCCTGACTTTCTCCTTTCCTCATTGATTTCACAGTTATCAGATCTGGAGAAGAAAGACAAGAGAGGGAGAAAGGAGAATGGTTTCTGCAGTCATTCAACAACTATTCCCTCATACTCACTCCAAAATACACATGTGCAGAACAGTGTCATCCTAGAATGGAATCAGATCTAGTCCCTGCTCTTGAGGACCTTGCAGTCAAGTGGGAAAGACCAACAGAGTCTAGGTGATTTCCAGAGCAGCATTCTCTCATCTTTTTTTTTTACTTTTCCCCAAGATTCTGTCCTTAACTTCTGCTCTCCTCATTCTGCGTGCTGAATGATATAGTTTATTCTATAGCTATAATTCCTACCCATGTCCTATTGACTGCAGATTCTGTATTTCTACCCCAGATCCCTCCAGACCCCTATATCCAAATATATAATGAACATTAATGCCTGAATGTTCCAGAAATATCTGAAACTCAACAATTCAAATTGAGTTCTTCAACTTCTTAATTCCTTGCAAACCTACTCCTCCTTTAGCAGAGCCCATCACCGTAAATGATACCTTCATTAATCTACTCACCCAAGCCAGTAATAGCCTCACCATCCATTTCTTCTCTTGCCTTTCCACCTCTTGCACACTTAACTACCAAGTCCTGACCATTCTACTTTAATATTCCTGGAATCTATAGTCTCCCCATTCAGGTCTCACTATTTCTTCCTTGGACAACTTCATTGGCCTCTGTAGGTCTCACTGATTCTGAGTTTTCGTCTCCAAAATATCCTTTAAGTTGTGTATATCCCCAGTATAAGAGTATATTGGGAGCTACCTGGGAGCCTGAACTCTATTCCTGCTTGGTTACTAACGATATCCAGAATAAACTAAGCTAGGAAAGAGCCCTCTGTTTGCTTAGTTTACCCCTCTTGGGATGTCTTAACCCATCCAGTGTTTTCTCAGCCTCTGCTTACAAGCATGAGGATTGAGGAGCTAGAAACATCTCTAGCTATCCATGGATAGCTGTAGGAAGGACTTTTTTTTTCCCCTTTTAACATTGGGGAAGACACTCAGAGCCTTGTACATGCCAGGCAAGTATACTACCACTGAGCTACCTCCCCAGCCCTTTATTTTGAGACAGGGTCTTGATAATTTGCCTGGAATTTGTGATTCGCTTGCCTTAGCCTCTCAAGTAGCTGGGATTACAGGTACATATCACCTTGCCCAGTTTTAGAAGGATTTCTTTAGCTTGACCCCAGTTCTTCCTCCTTGCTGCTTCTTCCTATTGGTACCTGGAGAGGTTCAAAATCAGTTTGGGAAGATAAAAATCAAGCCAGTGATGACCAAGATGGTCACCTGGGTAGGGTTGGCAGGTTAAATACAGGATGCCCAGTGAAATTTGACTTCATATAAGCAACAAATGATTTTGTAGTATGAGGATGTCCCAAATATTGCATGGGACATATTTATACTAAAAACTATTTCTTGTTTTTCTAAAATCAAATGTACCTCTAGATTTCTTTCCAATATTTTTATTTGCAAAATCTAGCAATCTTATACTTGAGTATAAGTTCAGACTAAGTGCAAGAACCTACCTCCCTTTGACGCACTCTGAGCAGGATTATAACTTCTCTGGAGGCCCAGGGAGAGTCATATGAGGGCTCAAAGGAAGGAGCAATTCATTCTGAGTGTGTTTCGGGGAGTGGAAACAGAGAGAAGGCTTAACCAAAGAAATGAAATTTAAGTTGCAGCTTAGAAGTATACCAGGCAGGGAATGGGAGCAAATGAATGAATAAATAAGTAAGTTGTAATTTCCTTGTAGACAGGAACCATTTCATATCCATTTGTATACTTACAGACAATTTATAGCAGGCCATGCATAAACTAGATGTTCAGTGATGAAGCAAAAGAAAGGAAGAGGAAGGGAAGGAATAACCATCAGAGTGTCCTAGAAGTTAGATAATGTTTGCAGAGCTAGGATGTTAGCTGTGGAGGCTTTATGTATGTCAGGGTGGTATAGGTGTGGCCCAGCTTGCATGGCTAGGTCTCTGAGGAGGGGAACAGATCCTACTGTGCTGTGCTTTGGTGGCTGAGCCTCAAGTGTTCAGGGGACAGCTGGAGTGCAGCTCTGAGTAAAGGAAGTAGGTGGGCCCCGGTGAGAGGTGGGAAATGAGGATTCTAGTCTCAGTTCTGTTCCTTGTTTCATTCAGTCAGAGACTCTCAGAGATGAGTGAAGCCCTAGGAATTCTCTCAACTATTATCTTTATTCTACAGATGGGGAAATTGAGGCTTAGAACTGGACAGGGACTGCTGAACTTGGCTTTTGATTCCATGGCTTCATTTATTTATTAATTCAGCAAATGTTTATAAAATAACCATTTTATGTCAGGCATTGGGGAGACTGGAGTTCAGAGATAAGTAAAACACATTCTTAGCCTCTAGGAGATCACCTATTAGTGGGAAAGCAGGAACGATGAGGGATGCTGTGGAAGGGCAGGTGGGTTGGTAGGAATGAAGGCAAAGGTGATGCTTAAGGGGTGGCTTGAAGGATAAGTAAGGGAAAGTTGACCAGGTTGTTGGAACAGCTCATTGCAGCAGGGTCTGAGGTTTAAAAGGAGAAATGATGAGAGAGAAGGATGGTAAAAGGAGGATCCAGGATATATGGTCTGAGCTGAGGTGGAAACTTCAGGGGTTCAGGCCCTTTTTTCCTAGATACCAAGTTTGACTCTTAGGGCTTCCTGGGGCTCAGATTCCTCTTCCCATGTTTGGAGGCCAGGCATCAGCATTCCCAAATACCTGTTCTCATTTCATTTGCTTTGCTATCACTAGACAGTCTGCTTTTCTGAGCTTGGCCTCAGTTTTCCTATGGGGACAATGGGCCTTCTTGGCTTCCAGCTTCAGGAATAATACTGACAGGGATCAGCGGAAGAGTCCTATAGTCTGTGCCCTCCATCCCACCTCCATTTTCTCAGGGGTTAGAGTGGCAGGTGTCAGCATGGCCACGGCCCCCTGCTTCCCCTCCCCCGCTGTGTTCCCTATAATTTTATATTGAGACCTGTGGTCATGACGTGGATTTTACTGCATTAACGACATGGCCTGCCCAGGTTTAATGACAAAATCCATACTCTGGCCCTGGGCCTGCTCCTCGTTTGCATAATTCCCAGAATACAGCTCCCTGAAGCTTTTGACCTGGGCCATTACAGTGGCCATAAAATGGGCCATAAAACCGCTGGGGATGGCCAAGAGGAGGGGGCTGTGGTCTTGCTGGGGTGGGAATGAAGCCCTCAACCCTCTACTCTTCATAGGCTTGGGTGGAGGCATCCTCTGGCTCTTCCTTTCCACAGTTCCCAGAATCTGGAAGTCCATCGCAGACCAAAGATACACCCAGAAATCCTTAGTCCAGCTACCCACCCTGTCCAGAAATCCCTTCTCCAACTCTTTTGTCAGTATCACAGGTAGCTGCCAGAGCCTACAGGAGGCAGACTGTCAGCAAGCATCCTGTCCTTGAACATTCCTGGTGCTGCCCTTGACAACTCCCCCAACTGTTGGGCAAGGCCTTTTGCCACAGGTGGGTCTAGTTCACATAAGCCTAGGTTGAATCTTGTCTCTCTCCAGGAGGCCTAGTTCCCTGGAGAGGTCAGGAGCCAGGCTGAGCCGCACAGTAGGGAGCCGCGGAGGGGATGGGGACAGGGACTGGGTCGGGCTGTCAGTGCTAAAGATGATGAATGGGGGAGGTGAGGCGGGAGGCCCAGTGTTATCGGCGGTGGATGGCGGGCGCGGGCGCTTGCCGCTCCTGCTAATCCCCGGGCGCTGCCTCAGCCCTTGCACTGATAACGAGGAAATGGGACTGACAACAATTTTTAGCTGAGAGATTCTTCACCAAAATGCCAGGCGGCCGGAGGTCTGACAGCGCCTGATTGAGTGTGTGAGTGTGTGGGGGGAACGCCCGCAGCCCCCTCCCCTCCCATGCAAAGATGGATCGCTCATTCCGCCTCCCGTCCACATTCATTACCGCGCCTCCCTCCCACCACCCCTGCCGCTGTAGGGCCTGCCACCTCCACTTCCCTGCCGGCCTGCCTAGGTATCTCCAAAGCAGGAGGAGGGCGGGGAGGAGTCTGACCCTGTCCTCAGCCTTACACAGGGCACTGTCTCAGAGAGCAGGGAGGGAGCTCGGCCAGGGTGTCAGGACAGTCAGGTCCTGGTTGATGGCTCCCTAGTCAGAGTGACCTCCAGGGGAGGCTTGCGGAGCTGCTAGACTACCTATCCCACCAGGTCCCAATAAGGCTCCAACAGGAATCGGCTGTCAGTAAAAGGTGAAGGGGGACTGACTGAGTAGAGAGAAGAAGACAAGCCAGGGCAGCCCTCTAGCAGCCTGGGCCAGGCTCCAGTCTATCCATCTGTCCAAGTTTTGCAACAAGGCCTCAGGTATGTGGGGGTCTAGATTAGCCCTCTGCTGCCCCCCTCTGTTGGGAATTGCTGACCATTGGGAACAGGTAACTGGGC